AATTGGGAAACGCTAGCTTGACATCGGATAGGAAATTCAGTTCGATTTCGTCACATAGAAAGAAGGAATTAGCTGTGCAAATTAATACGACTGAAATTTAGTTACTGAGTCTAGTTTTTAATTGTGTCTAGTCTAAAACTTGATACAGGGGCAAGAAAAAATGAGCTAAATTAAGTAAATCTCACTTTTATTATATGGACAACTAATTTTTACCCGTGGGAGTTAATTCTTTCTTTTATGCAGCGAAATAATATCCGGAAAAATATTTTCGGAAGCGCTTCCTCGGGAAGATTACCGCTAAATGCAATTTGCATATTAGACTTCTTGAGTGTCGTGTCATCTCCCGAGAAGCTCGGATACAATTATTCGAGGGCCAACAAGTTGAACTTGCAACGTTCAAGAAACGAGATATCGTGCGATCCGTTACTCGGCATATGTATTTAACTCCCGGGGCACATATACTTGGGAAATAATTGAGTTAGAACTAATAATTACAAATCATTTTCAGCGCAGAGGGGAAATAGAAAGGATATGAAATCGCGCGATTCTAACCCGAAAGCCGTTCCATGTGTGCGCTCTAAATTAGGTACGCGCGTATCTTATTTTGCAATAGCAAGCCGCCGTCTATTTCATGATAAATGCTTTGTGCATTTCGTTCATTAAATAATCGCAAAACCGCCCGTGGAATTTCCACGTATACTACCATATCGTCACGCTTCCGCCATCGGGCCATTAAAATCGATAATAAGGTGGATCGCGAGCACGCGGAAATTAATTCGTCCAGCGCACCGATTCTCCGGTAGAAATTTATAAGGACACCGCGTTTCTCCATTATTAGCGCGTAAGTGCGCACGCAGCGGCACCAAATTGCATTCGCCCCTCCAGATATATTTATACATTCCTTCATTACAGCCCGTATCATTCGCAAGGAGCGCCGGACACACCCACGAGGTGTTAAGCGCTCCTTGCGCGCCCCAATTAACCGAGATCGATAAGTTCGGCGAAAGATATTCCCTCGCGATCGCCTCGGCCCCGGCCGTATAAATCGAAAAGAGAAGGAAAAGGGACAAAAGGAGAGGGAGAGAGAAAAGAGAGGCTTCTCGAGCCCTGCGAACACCGGCTCGCAAATAAAGAGCCCATCGGCGAGCCGTCGAGCGGAGCTTTGTCGCGCTCCTCGGAAATCGAGCTCCTCGTTCGATACGCATACTTCGGGGCCACCTCCATCGCGACGCCCATGAGGATGTGTGTGGATGCACGGCAGAACGTACGAGCGGTCGGCGAAAGAAAGCGCGAGCGAGAGGCGCACCGCGCTGCTCCGACAATATGCCGGCTGGAAACCTCGAAACGATTCGACACTGCCGGCCCCCGGCGGGCTGATTGGCCCGTATTTGGTTGTAATTAAGGCACCGGCGGCGACCATTAGCGGACCGCGAAAACGAACAACATTGTTCGGCGCGTAAATCAAATCGCGCAAGGATCCTATCCTCTCCTCTTGCCGCTCGACCTCTCCTCTGCTGACACGTCGGAACAAACTTTCCACAAATTTTTATGAGCTCTTCGAATCTCGAGCTTTTCCCGGATTTTCTCTGTGGGCAATTAAATTATTTTGCTGAATCTACTGAAATTATTTCGCTTTAAGAACAAATTACTAAATGTACAATATTTTGTTCTAACAGCAAATTAACATATCTCCTAAATTTACTTAGCAGGATTTTTTATCCCGCCACCAAACCCTAATTACGAATAATTCGCTAATTTGGTTATTATCGCTAAATTTTATCGCTGTCGCAACAAACATGCAACGATGGTTTCGCTACAACAGCAAAATTATCTTTCTCCGTGTACTTGATTTGTTAATGAGAGGTCTTTTGGATTTCGCTAAAAAATAAGTAATTAAAAGTGTTCGCTCGTGGATACATTCTATATTTTTCTCCTTTCCGACGTGTGATTTGTCATAATGAACACCCTGTTAATCATTATCCCCCGTTATTACGTCTAGAAGCACCGTTAGGTGTTTTTTTTACTTCGCACTACCATTAATACTTACCTACGCGCAAACCCGGTGAAAGCATCCAGGCATGACTGATGCAAGGCAACAATTTAGTTCACTTTACGCAATCCGCAGAACAACGAACACGGACCATTTCAGGTGTACTTCGGCGAACACGGCGAATAATAATTGGCGTCGCGAATAAGAAGTAAAACGTTTTCCGTGAAAAAAGCTTGATTGTATCAACCTGAAAGAGAACAATCGGTTCCATTTTGAAGAAAACAGAATTTCTTGTAAGGACATTTGGATCGTAAGAAGCAGAAATCCTGTTTCTTTCCGCCGGAACGCATCCGACTGTTCCTTTTGTGGTTGGTGCAACCAGATTTTTTCTCGCGCATTTCTATCTCATGTGGAGACCGGTAACACCCCCGATTGTTCACGTTCGCGCGCGAATTGCACACCAGGTGGAAGCGACCCGAACGAGCGGATGTCAAAAATCCACTTTGAGAACGACGGAATGATGTTACGCGGAACGTTCCTGCCGTATCGAGAGACGACTATGGCAACAATACCTCTCGACTCGCATAATTGGCGCTATGGGCGCCCCAATGGGGGCCACCTCGCGCAGCGGTGCCGGCAGGGCCGCCGACGCGGGATGAAGAGATTTACAATGTTCCCGGCCGTAAAATAATCAATAAAATCTGCGCAATGTAAAGAAACGGACGTGCGGCGGTGATTTAGTGCGCGGAGCGCCGGGTCCTCCCCTCTCCTCTTTGCCTCGTTCTCCCCGTCCACCCCAGGATAGTTTTCTAAGGTCTGTCCTTAAGGCCCGGTCATACGAAGGATGGATGCGCTATGAGGAGAAAAAAGCCTCGGCCGAGCGGAATCTGAAGGCGACGATCGGACACTTCGCCTTTTTACGACGATTATATTGCCGGCGATGTAGTTGCCCGCTCAGTTCCGCAAACAGTCGTTATAATATAAAGTCGACCGACGAGGAATTAGTGGATAATACGCGGAAGAATCGGTGGTCCAAACTGGCCGGCGTTTTACAATGATGACACTCGAGTATTCCATACTAGACGATAAATTGGCCACGTGACGATCGCTCATTAATAGTTTGAGTTATTTCAGTTTCGCGAGAGACGAAAGGAAACGACACGTTAAAACGATTGTTCCTTTAACGGTATCGGATTTTGGTCTCGTCCCTGAAGACGCATGATCGATTTGCGTTTGCCGAAAAAGAAGACAAAACACACACACGCGTATTCGTCGGGCCGAGAACCAATTAGGCGAGGACTAAAGCGGGAGTCGATGGCCCGTTCTGAAAAAGCGCATCGCCTCGTAATCGAGCGCTAATTCATCAGCGCGGCCCATTTGCGAGCGTAAGTCGCCCAAATGATCCTGTAGGCTTCTTCTCTGCACAGATAATAGGCGTGGCTATTTCGAGCGGTGCGTATCTCGCATTTACGAGGCGTTAAAGGCACCGTGACTGATGACGGAGCCAACTAACAAGATTTCGCAAGTTAAACAAAGACGCTCGACAAATATGGATTTCCGCCCGTTCATTGTATCGCTCCGGCCTACTGGAGGTTCTTTTCATACGAGATATTCGCTTGTGAAACGGTAAGCACATTTTCCGTATTCGACGAGTCGCTTCGTAATCCTAATCATTTTCCCATCATCGACGAAGTCTTCACTCGCTTCTCCGTGCGCAACTTTTCCGATCCGCTCACGTAATTTTCACCTATTTTGATTAATTCTCGCTCGAGATTATTAATCGAATTATAAGCGCACACATCCCGAATGTGGTTAGCGCCTTAAGTTTTCTGTGGGAAATACAGCGCGATTCGCCCCGCGCCGCGGGGTTTTGCGGCAGGAGCCGAGTATGGTGACGAATTTACGAGCTCCTTACGAGCGGAGGCCCTGCCTTGCTCGTGAGCGTAGCGGGCAATAAAGTACGAGGCCAGAGGATATTCGAAACAATCGGGCCGGAGAGAGAGGGCAGGATCTATCTCGGTCCGAGAGAGGAGGCCCGGATCAAATTTAGATTTGATTTACGAGTGATCGCACGCCGGCCCGATGGACTCGTCCTCTCTTCCTCCGACCGAAGCCGTCGCTTGCTCTATTTGCCGGGTAACGACACCGGGTGTCCCGCGGATAAAATCGAGAAGCGATGGTACAGGTCGGTGATACGCGCGTTATTACATCGATCGGCCGTCAATTGATTTAAGATATCCCTAGCACGAGATGGAGATCGCTAAAACAAAGGATAGAAAACAATAATTTTACTGTTGCAGCGAAACCTTCGTTGCAACAGCGATAAAATTTAGTTGGCTTAGCCAAATTAGCGAATTATTAGCAATTAGAGCAAAAACGGTTTTATTGCCAAGATAGAAAATATTCTATATAGATAGAAGATAATATTCTGCTGAGTATTCTACGAACAACCGCTCAGTTCATTTATTTCCGATGAATCCATCACTGGCCGCGATTCGGTGTGAAAGCACCTTCACGACGATAGGGGCCAAATGATAAAAAGCCCAGCTGGGGAACTTACGCGACTAGATCTCGCAATAAATAGAGGGAAGTAGGAAGTATTCGCAGAGACGTATTATTACAAGCTCGACGAGCGCGAGGAGGACGCGAGGCGGCGGAGAGGGAGAAAGAGCCGTTGTGAGCTTTGTTCGTTTTTGCGCGAGACGACGAGTGAGATTCTCGCTGTTGATTGGTCGTCTCATTATGCGGCAATTAAACAACATGGCGTGCCACCGCGGCTCGTTCGAGGCGTTCACTTAACGCGGCGCCAGTCGTCGGATCTGGTAGATCGGCGGACCGGCGTTAAAGTCTCCCGTTGCTCTCGGGAGACTTTAACGCCAGTCCGCCGATCTACCAGATCCGACGCGAAGAGCAAAGAGCGTTCCCCGTTCATACATAGTGTGATTCAATGTATGTAATAGTATGTAATAGTATGAATTCTGTTTCATTGAATACGCACGTTGCACCTTGCATTTGTATCTTTTATTTCGATTAATCGGTATATTTACAACGAGTGCTCGTGCGTTAGAATGTAAAAATATAATACAAGATAAGATAAATAATTAAGTCCTCAAAAGCAATGTATAAAAATTACCGTATATAAAAATAATCATTGAAGAAGAATTGCGACTTCGCCGACTTCTTGAGGGTATTCCAAGCGTTATGGTAATTCGACGTGGGAGAAGTGCAATTATAAACTTATTTGCGTGGTATCACAATGAGCCTAAATGAGAAATTATCCGTCCATCGTGCTATCGTACATCACATTGGGGAAGGTGGTCGTCGCCGGGATGAAAATGGGATTATCGTTCTGAAACATTTCCACATATTGATGTGCCGACAAGCTGTCACGCGATCGGAAAGAACGACGAAGCGACGACAACAATGATAACTTACCCTGCCAAACTTGGTTTGGGAGCGCTCTTTCTCGAACCTGGCGTATTCCCTCTTATCGTGGATCATCGTAAGGATCTTCCAAACGAGGAGAATCAGGAAACCGATAACGACAGTGCTTATGACGACGCCCAGCGCAACACCTACGGGAGAAAGTAAATTCTGCTCCATGTCTCTCGTGTCTTCCCTCGCGCGTTCAATCGTATTGTCATGCACACGACCGACGCGCTTCCAAATGCCGTCGCATATAAATGTAGGATTCAAATGGATAATCCAGCAGGGTATTCCTCTTGCGTCGGAATTTAATAAACATTCTCCGTGATTGCGCGCGTGCGTTACGGGAATGATCGCGCATGGACGACGAGAATCATCCAGTAAGAATGATCGGCAAGTTTGTCGTTTTAAAGAAACTGAGATGTTTTCTAATGTCCACTCTCTAAATTCCTTGGTGTGAAATTTTACTCAAAATCTATGAAAATTCACTCGAAGCGGTATAATAAAAATACACTCGAAATCTTAAAAGTGGCTGTGTATATCCGTTATTGGAAAATGCATGAGATGCAAATGAATTGTACTGAAAAATGAGTTTGATTGGATCTACTTGACAATGAATAAACGAAATGCGTTTTAGTTGGAAACAAAATGTCGAATTCTTATGTTTCCAAATTTGTTTTTTACAATCAAAGGTTCCTCAATCAAAACACATTTGGTTGTTCATCGTCAGATAGATCCAACCAATCTCATTTTTCATTTGTATTTCGTGACACGCGGGCTTAAGCGTAATTCGTATGACACGAAGAGTTACCCAAGACGTTAATAGGTGCCGGGCAGGTTCTATCTTCTTGAGCTTGAATCGTGTACATTCTGATATCCCCGCGGTTATTTTGATACTGATATTTGAAGACGAACGTGCAGCCTTCATCACCAGGTGTGCGACATATGTGGGCGCCGGTCTCCTCGTCCTTCAGAGGATCTTCCTCGACGACTTTGACCTGTGAAATAATAAATCGCCCATTTGCGTAGCATCGCTAATTATTCGTCACCCTCGTGCAGCTTGCGAGGTAGATGCTATCTCGATAAGAAGATTACTAACAATATCAATTTCGTGCGGGCATAAGTCGCAGTTTCCGTCCTTCGCGAGCTGTCCTGTTTTGTACACCGTGCACTCCACGCAGTCCTTTAGCTCTTCGCACCGTTGTCCTGGACATGTCTAAAATGTACGGGCCTTTAGAAGCAAAGCACAGATTTTTTAGTGCCATTAGATGTTAATATTGTCAATATAATGCGGCAATATATATAATATTAACAATATTAATATCTAATGGCACTAAAAAATCTGTGCTTTGCTCCTAAAGGTCTGTAAATTCTTCCTTTGGTTAGGTCAAGTAAGGAACAATTTTTCTTAATGTTTCGTCTAAAATATGTCATAAACAAAAATTTCGTCGCGCAAATTATCCGATTCAAGTCAATTACGCGAAGTAATTCTTTCACGTTGCTCGTGAGAACCGAATGAACCAAGAATAAATAATACAATTTTATTATTGCGATATATTAATGCGAAAGGTTCGTCATTTTTGCGTTAAATCCTTGTGGAAAGCGTAGGCATTAAAAGTAGAATAGAAAATCCTCGTTAGATATTTCAAAAATATCGAGCTGTTGTCAATTTGAATCGTAAAAATCAGCAATCCTTTGAAAATGTCATAACTTCGTCTTCTATCTTATTTGACAAACGCGAGACAAATCTTTTGCACCAACGGGCGGATTTCATTCTACCCTCGTTCTCGAGTCAGTCTTCGCGGACACGTAATTTCATAATTACGATCGTTTATGTCCCGTATGACGATAAAAATCGTGATCTTGCGCAAACCGCGCCCGTATGCTGGCAATTACAATGAATTACGATGAACATATTCATTCCCGCGGTTCTCTCTCTGTGGTAATCGCGCGGTATCTTTCCGGCATTCTTTCCTTGCGACGTGTGCGGGCACTCACGGGACACTCCTCGCAGTATTGCCCGGAGTATCGGATATTGTTCCATTCATGACAGTGACAGCTGCCGCAGATGCAATCGCCGCGGCCGCTGCAAATCTGAGCGTTCCCGCTTGACGGCGGGATGCATGTACTGTTGGTCTCCTTGCAGTCGCACGTCTCGCCACCCCATCCCGGATCGCAATTGCAGGTACCGCAGTCGCATCTACCCTTCCCGCCGCAGACCTGAAACGGACAAAGAAGACGATCGGCGACGGCATAATGGAGAGTGCGAGTAGGAGACGTGTAATTTGTCGTGCCGCTCTTGTGAACGGCGGCTCTGCCGCTCGAGCGGAGAAGATTGCCGAGTAACTTCCGCGCGAAGTCGCTAAATGTAACTGACCATCCGGCGAGAACGCGCGAATCGACGTAACGACGTCTCTCTTTTTTTTCGCGCGTGTACGACAAGTCTGAGCCTCAAATTCTCGAATATCTCATTCTCGGAAATTTCTCCGAGCGAAATCGCATTTATTTTCATCGCGATGACCGATAAAGTAATACGAAATAACGACTAAAAGTGTAATTCTTGAAGTGAAATCTCATTCAAAACGAGTAAAAATCCCCTCGAAGCGTCGGTGAAAATACCGCCACTCGAAATGAAATGACACTTCACGAGAGTCCAACTCAAACCGTGGACTGAATTGTTGATCCGCACGGGTGAATGTTTCAAGCGATTGCGGTTAATTTTACTTCAATCAATTTTCCAATTTAATTCCGATCGTGTCAAATTGACTCTTCAGTTTCGAATGAAATTATCCATTCGACTTCGAGTCTTCGGAAAAGCCACTCTACCTCTCGAGTGAAATTTCGCTCAAAAAAATTTCGAAAGTAATTTACAGACTTCCTTCGAGTCGAAATTTTAGTTCTATATTTAATCTTTAAAGGTCTTCTGCACATAAAAAATTTTGTGTTAAAAACAGTCCATTGAAACTTTATGTTATTTTAACGTTAGAAATATGTTAAAAAGTACATAAATATAATATAAAATTAACACATACACTTCGTTAACGCATGTTGGCTACGTGAATGCGTTAATTTAACATTATATTTGTATACTTTTTAATATATACTTATGTACTTTTTACACATTCCCTATGCTAAAGTGACATAATTTCAGTGGATCGTTTTTAAAACAAAATTTTTTACCGTATATTATGCACCTTTAATACTATAAATGGGAAATTATTTCTGTTTTGTCCACTTGAAGACTCAATGTAGAACTAAGTAGACTTAGTGCGGGATTAAAATTTCGATTCGGGCCGTCCACTGCATTTGTACTCGTTTACACGGGATCTGCGATTTTTTGCGATGGTATTGTCCGCACAATGGAGTCGTACCTGGCCGCCGCTGCGTTGGCAAGAGAAATTGTCGCACTGGCAGTACTTGCCATAGAACAATTCTTTCGGGTTGTTCGGTCGTCTGTCGCAGTTGCACACGCCGCACTTGCATGTACCGTGGCCGCTGCAGATCACGTCGGTTTGGTTGTCACGTTTGCAGTCGGCGGTCGAGATCGCATTGCCACCGCGGACCTCGTTTACCTTGCACTCACACTGCTTTCCGTAAAAATCGGGATTGCAGGAGCATACGCCGCACACTGAGGTGCCGCTACCCTTGCACTCCGTGGCGTTCGGTCGATATCCCTGTTTCATAAACAGCCGTTTGAAGTTCTTGGTGCAAAGCACGTTGTAAAATCGCGAATTTCATGAATTTTAATTGATTTATTAATCGAACATTTTTTATTTATATTTTAATTTATACTTCTATAATTTATTGTTTATATTCAACTGAATGTGATTCTTTGGAAATCGAATGAACTTTGTACGTTTTTCTAAGCTTGAATTAAAAATATCTTTTTAAATTAAAATAAGTTAAAAGTGTTGTAAACGATTTTACAATAATTTGTTTTAATTTGTCTCGTTGTTAATAATTTACGTACCGGATTTCCGAGCTTCTCACAAGGACAATCGCACATGATCTCCACATCAATAGTCAAACTCTCATTCAGGTCTCTGGGTTTGATATTCACGGTTTGCTTCCAATCCTTCGGATCCGTAGGGCACTCCGTAACCTGCGTACGTGCGAAATGCACTGAGTTGTCGCCGGTGAACCGTAACCGTCGATTAATTTACGCACCTTCAGCACAATTTCAAACTCGATATCGTTGTGCACGCGAAGCCCTTCGCATTGGCGACGTTCCAGCAGGTCTCCAGTTTTATTCAAACACTTGGAGAAATACTTGATATCGATCATCTTCGGTGCAGTGTCGATCAGCGTCAACGTGTCCACTAATTTCTACAAATTGCATAAGTATTAAGTATATTTTATACCTATAAGTAATTATTATATCTCTATATTTATATGTAATATATTTCTATATATTTATAAATGTTATATTTTTCTCATTGTACACATAGGTACCTCATATTCGCCTCTCACTAAATCTTTGACGTTCTCCGAATTGCCCTCGAGAATTCCAATTGAGGATCCGCTGATACTACGACTCAAGTCCGAATAGGTAGTATTTTTGCCTTTCGGCACTGCGAAAATGATGTTCATGTTATGCTCGCGTGCTTTCCGGTTGATCTGAAAAACAGATCGACGCAATTTTCCCGAATTAGAGCGCGTATCCTGCATTACACGAGTATCCCGCGAAAGAAATCTCGTTCACCTGAGAGATCGACGGATAATCCTGTTCGAGGAAATAATTGTAGACTCCTTTCTTGTCCAAGTGGCACTTGCAATCATTGGGCTCGATCACTCCTGCAAGCTGCGAAACTGTGTTAATTTTCTTCATCTCGGTCGCGTTAACGTCGTGATGGACGTTGTTTCGTCGCGTTATCTTCGCAGCAGCGACCGGACATTGTGCGATTAACCAATAATGCGTACCTTACCGTCACCGGCGACATGGGACGACGCATCGGTCGAGAACACGATAAGATGACGTGCCTTTTGGCGCCAGCCGATCTCCGCGGTGCACACTATGACCTGCATCATCGCTTCCAGTCCGCCTTCGGGTCCATCCAGGTTGCCGGAGACCGGCGCTCTTTGTACCTCGGACTATGATTTTTTTTTTTTTAATCTGTATATGTTATATCATACATAGAGAAAAGATTTCTTTGGTTTTAATAGAATCTCTCTCTGTAATTGAAATAAATTATTTTTTAGAATAAAGCAAACAAATGAAGGTTTGATTCAACAAACAGGATTGTTCGGTTTCTCAAACAATAAATATCTTTATGTCAAATAGCACATTTCTTTTTGTATTTCCATCAAAACTCTGCAAAATGATTATTACGAGCAATAAATTATTTGAAAAAAGTAACACTGTTAGAAAAATATTAAAGAACTTCTTCGTGTTAGTGGAACAATATTTAATATATAATGAAAAATTTGTTTAATTGAAAATGAAATATTATTTCCTCCAAATGATATTATTTTTTTATCAAACAACATGGTTTACTCTAATGAAAAAACATTTTCATTTAAACAAAACGATATTTGATATTGAATTATGTGGTTTATATTAAATAAACATATATAGTAAATCCAAAGAAAAACCTTTGTCTCTGTATATAGAATGTTTAAAACGCGCAAAATTGGCTGTTTGTTGATTTTGTCGACGATTCGAAACGAAATTGCAGACAGGAAATATTTACTCTCTCTAAGTTTCTTGGAGTAAAATGTCGAGTGGAACTTCACTCGAAGAAATTTAAAGAACACATTTTCGCAAATATTTACGAGTTTTTTATTTATTAAAAGAGCGTGTGCTTCGTGTGTACGATGACGATTACCTCGAAACCCATTACATTCTCCGTAAGTGGCATCTGATTGATGTAACTGTAAGGCGATGCGCATGGCTTTCCGTTGTTCAAATGGCAGGGAACTTTCAGTCTAGCGCAAAAAGTAAAATCAATCTGCGAACGTGCGACTCATCAACGCGGTCTCTTATGAAAATCTCCGTTATGAAAATCTCCGTTATGAAAATCTCATCCCGACGGGGCTCTAATCACTTGTTTAATTTCACCCCGATCGTTTTGAGATGATATCTCTTTTGTACGATTATCATAATTCTCTGGTAATTACTTGTCAGGCTGCGTGCTAGTCATCGGAAGAGTGACTTTGTCCACGAAGCTGCCGAACCCGATGCGGAAATTCCTTGTGAGCTCCTGCATGGCTCCAGCCAGCTGCAGGCCGAGCTTCGACAATTGTTCCCGATATGGGTCCATGGATGCGGATAGATCCATAAGGTAATATAGATCCACGGGGTAATCCTCAGCCTGTTTGTATTTCAGAATCACACGCTGTTCCTCTCCTATTAATATAATTATTTTTTAATTGCAGTTCGTGATCACGATGACTGTGTGTCTTAATCGCAGATCTTCGAGGCAATGAGGAGGTAACGTGTTAAATGTGCTAAAAATTTGATCAATGTACTCTAATAGGAATTGAACCTCGTGGGTGTTAACGGATGAGGTAATAAATTCGTGTCTAACGTCGCTACTAGTCCATAATATGACGCGCTCACTTTTCTCTTAATGGCTAAATAATGGCTCGATATATAAATTAACTGATAATTAGACAAGATAAATTACAGTTACAAGATGAAAAATCATAGAAAACTGGTTTCTAGGCAGTAACTTCGGCTTTTTTGAAATTTTTATAGAATAATGTACTCTCAATTTTGATTTGCTACCTCATTTTTAAATGTTTATAGCGGGTGCATAGTAGCTGGATTATATATTTTAGAATAGAGATAGTACTATTTTTATTCTATTATAGTGATTTATGACTCAGACTGACTAGTTACATTTCTGCTCTGGTAACTCCATCTATTCAAGGTCGATTGGATAAACAAATCGAATTCGTTAAGTTAATTTTTTATTAATCATTAAACAATTTCGAAAACACATTGACATCTTTGGCATTTTGCGAATATTCCAGGAGATTCTGGAGTGGATGAGATCTTGAGAAATATGTGTCTCACCTCGCCTAAGACGCAAGTGTATCCTCTGAGGTTGCACCTGAACGGGTTCTCTACCTTTGGTTGAGGACAAAGGTCGATTTTCGGTCATGGTCATCGTATTCTCGTAGTATACCATGTCCGATTCTGTACACCAGAGGTGGCTTACCTTCCTGGCCGTTTCGTAGGACACGCAACGTATGATAGGTGCACTCGCATTTTGTTCGATCGTCTTCTAGAGTCCGAACAAAAATCCGAACAAAAATCAATCGTCAATCATTGTGACATGAAATTCTTAAATTAAAATAAATTAATGCGCACATAATGTTGCAACGAAAAACGTGCGATAAAAATTCGAATTTTAACAACATTGAAAATCGCAGTATTTTCAGGAGAAGATCACTGATTAGAACTTGCTTGCTTTTCGAAGAAATCGTGTAATTATTGTGCAATTATTAATTAATAATATTATTTGAAATTATAATACATTTTCTAGCAGGCTATATTAAAAATCCAATTTGACTTTTTTAATAGATAATGTCGTATACATCTATAAAAAAGCCAATCGAACCGAGCTTTTACTGACTCAATGTCCACGTTCAGCAGGAACGTTGATCTCACTGTTGGAAGTTTCTGAGCTGAGATTGGATTATTCTTCTGGATCTGCGGAAATAATCCAATCTCTCAGCACGGAAAATTTCCAACAGTTGTAAAATTCTGCTGAAGGTGTAAACATGGGAAGGTGTAACAGTTGTAAACATTCTGCTGAAAGTGGCCGATATCGTCCGAACACGCTTCTCTGTTTACACACAAGGATAATGTTTCTCTCGAAAGGCGTGGAATCTCCGTTACTCCGAGCACCACGGCCCGATTCTCTCTCAAAGCATCTCGAGATTAATACGAAACAATGATCTCTCTTAGTTGTTGCGCTACTGTCGCGGGTAACAGAGTTAATCACGCGTCCGCATGAGTTCACTCGGCAATGAGTGAGTCATACCGGCAACGAGAGTCACCGACGTCCGAAAAGGGTGTAGTCCAGGCAGGTGCACGCATCCTGTACGTTTTCCCATCATCTCACGAACGCGCGCCGCTTATAAATATTCATTACCGTCATGGAGCACCAGGCGCATCGCGGCGTTTGCAGGCAGCTCGAGCAGGTCTGCTGGGCCTCGCAGAGGCTCTCGTGGTCCCGGTGCTGCGAATGAACGAGCACGAAGAGTCGCACCACCAAGAGGAGGATGGTCGTCGTCCACCAATGTGACATCGTATCGTTCGTAACGTCGATACACTTTTGACAAAGCACGCGGGCGAGGCTGCCGCGCGCGGCTCGCGATTTCAAAGGATACTGCGGCATCCCGCGGAAATGACTCCGAGATAAGATGACGCGTTGCGGTGCGTCATTAGGTAACCGTCCGTGCTCTCTTCCTATGATTATTTTTATCGGCCTTGGTGACCGGCGTGATCCGATTACGTCGAAGAGCCGGGCTTGACGACGCGATAAATTTCGCGACGATATCGAGTCGAGTTTAATTATAATGTTAATTGCAAATTGAAATCCGAGTGATAAATGGTGATAAATGTATGGGTGATGTAACGTTTACAAATAAAATTCTGTTTAAGTGGGAATGGCAAAAGGGAAGGACGAGAATGATAGATAATTTGATGAATACCGAAGATGTAAATTCTGCGGTTCCCCTTACATAGGCGTAGGTTTTTTTATATGTTTTACACGGAATGAGTTCGTCCGGTCGATTGTTGAATATACAAATAAAATTATTATTCAAATTAAGATCCTTTTAATTTGTCGTTGAGTCGCATAATATAAAAATATGGGAATGAAAAGTGTGAGAATTAAAAGAACATTTCTCACGTTTGCGAAAAGTGATCAAAATTCAACGAGCTGTAACTTCGGCAAAAGTCATGATAATGAAATGATTCAAGAAGCATTTTAAAGCACGAAGTCCTTAATTTTGAAAGATTGATTCAGATACAAAGCTTACTTACTTTTTATGGAGCTATACAAGTATAAATCGAAATCCGTCAAGTGGCAAAATATAACGAAAAATGTGACGACCATCTGTTGAGTCATAGTATTTAAAGAAATAAAATAAGTGATTTGTACTGAATTGGATATATCATGATTTCTATTCCTCGGCAAGTCGGTGGCGGCTCATAGCGGCAACTCCCGAACTAAAATCCGTGACATATTAGAAATGCTGTGTTCCAATAGGCGCATTTCCATCCAGAAGCAATTTAACGGGCCAAAATACGCTGTCTACCACGGGTTTAAATATTACCAAAAAATAACGGGTCAAATAACCCATTAAGCCCGTATCGGATTATGGATTGGGGATTATGATTGAATTGAATTTGGCCAATCAATGCAAAGTTAACTGAATTTAGTGAAATTTAGTGGATTTTGCACTGATTGGTCAAATTTCAATTCAATCTTAATGTCTAATCCGTAGTCTAATGCGGGCTTAAGGATGACAGATTGTAAAGCCAGCGATACACAATTATAGAAATAACAACGAGTATAATAATAATCCCTTAAACTCGTTATTTGCTCCACAAAAATAACGGGTCAACATGATTGTGTTCATGTTGGTTGTTTTCATGTGTTGGATTGTTTGCTGGATGGAAATATTGCATTTTGGTTGGTGTATTGTCATCCATTTTTCGAAATGCACCGATCAGAACGCAATATTTCTATCCAGCAAGCAATCTAGCACGAAAACAAGCACCACCATATGTCGTTGACCCGTTATTCTTGTTTATTAATTAACGGGTTTAAGGGATTATTAGACCCGTTATTTTTAGAATTTAGTTTCAAACTTTCGTTACGAGTCGCTACTTTCTTTAACAAAGAATTCAGGTCGCGGAATGATTCAATAATGTATCAGATGGATTGTTATTTTTCTAAAGTAATATTACTTAGTGACAGGTCAGACATTCCTTCTCACCGTAAAATCGCTATCACAATTTTCGTCTGTTCTAAAAGTTACCGAAATTAAAAGTGCGCGATGTTCCTGCAATCGGCTCCGATTATAACGTAACTGTAATATGAAATTTGTATACAACTCTTGTGACATAACGTGTGTGCGGCATGTAATAGCAGTAATTAGAGCAAGAATTATTAGATCGATTTTCATCATGTAAACGTAGCTACAGATATCACTAAACCGGTCATCGTGTAAACGTAGTCGTAATCTTTCGTCACGAGCCATACGTGACGTAGCGGTGGATGTTCTCGGCTGAATCCATTTTCAATACGTTTGACAGATGACGGATCGCCAGTGTTTGGCGATTTCGACTAAGTGAGAATTGTGCGATCAGAACGACATGGAAGCGGTACCGAGATTGCCGATGATATGGTTCCATCTGAAGGTTAGCCCGGAGCCCACCACTTTCGGACCAAAACTCAAACAGGTACGAATTCCCACCGAGTTTATCGTCCGACTATGTATGTTGACCAATTAGTCAGCTTCTGATGATAACGGCAAATTGCGATTCAACTCGCGATGAATCTGTCCGTTACCTCGGCGGGTATTCTTCTTTCTCCTTTTTTTAGTACATACGAGACTTTTATAATGAGGACCCCGAGTCGTACACGAACGAGATACATCAATTGGAGAGTCTACGTTCGATGGCGGTTAGACCACCTATAGATGTGGCTGGTTGTGTGGTCTTGAAGAAATATTACTGCCAGTTGCATTTCCTTCAGAGTAGATTTCCTATGGGCAAAGATGGTGCCGCTGCGGTTACATTTACTTGGTATACATTTCCTTACGTGACACCTTTAATTACACATGTCACACTATTATGCTTCCTCAGTAAATTAATTGAATTATATGCCAAGCATCATATGTCTTAATATTAAAACAAGGGCTGCTTGTACAATTTTCAACATATATACATAAGATTTGAAATAGGGAATCTTGGTAAATAAATATTGAGACACGTATGTAGTATCTCATTTGTAATTTGTTCCATTGATGTTTTTTTAGGAGAGACACATATGCAAACATGGCTTGTTCATTGGCTAACATACGTTTTGAAATAATATCTATTTTGTACAATATTGGCGCACTGCATACCCAATTGGGCTGGCGAACAGAAAGAATCAGCGCTGACGGCATGAAGATAGCATGCACCCACTTCCAATGTGCAGCTTGGGCTTTTGAACATTTGAAGAACAGTTACCCACAGCCTTCTGGTGTGGACCTGGCGCCGGAGTTAATGACCTTCATGCATCAGCTTTGTCTGGCCCAAGCTCAAGAATGCATATTGGAGAAGAGCATGCTGGATAATCGCAAGCCGACGATCGTTGGTACGTTAATTGCCAGTTGATCTAACAAGTTCTTACGTTAACCATTTAGCCTTGTTCGTCATTGTACAAAACATATGTATTACGCAGCAAAAGTCGCAAGGCAAATAGTAGATTACTTCACACTGGCGTTAAACACGTTGGAGCAAGGCGGAGGCGAAGATGGTACTATAAGCGATACGGTGGGCCCCAAATGTTATAGGGTAATGAATTATTTCCTTACGTCCATTTATTTTCGAAAAAATCACTTTGGAGATATAACAGTCTGTTTTGTGGTGAAGTTGCGAGTTAAATCGGTGGTTAATTTATTATTATTTGCAGTGTTGGAAATATTACGTCAATTTTAAGAAGGCGTATCACTTGGCGATTACATATCTTTATCAAGGCCTTGCCGCTGAAGAACAGAGAAAGATGGGAGAACGAGTAGCTTTTTATAATTATGCGTTAATGTCCCTTGGTGATGCACATGAAATTTATTCGCACGCTAAAGGGGCGATAGGTATGGCTACCTCGACGAAGGGGAAAACCCTGGTGGAGGAAGCACTCACGTTCACCAACGATGTGATAGAAGGCAAGAGGAAAGCTGCCAAGAACGAAAACGAGTTTATCTACCACGAAGAAGTGCCGGAGAAAGAAATGCTTCCACCAGTGAAAGGTGCTTCTCTAGTTAAAGGCGTGTCATTTAATATAAATGATCCGGAAGTCTCGGGATCAGATATATTTGCGAGGTAATTGTATCTTAAATACTACAGTTTAGTATTTTGTTAATTTCGTTGAATTAAGGATGTGAATACACGATTTTTCACAGTTAAAGAAATGTGAAATCGAACAAAATTATTTTCTCCTTTCCTTTTTGAGTTTTTTAACAAAATGTCTTGCGTATCATTATTTTTCTCTTATTTCTGCTCATGATTTGCAGTTTAATCGTTGGACTGACAAAAACACTCCATATTATTTCACAGATTAGTTCCTATGAAGGTGCACGAAGCAAGTTCTCTTTATTCAGAAGAGAAGGCCAAAATACTGCGTTCCATCGGGACTAAAATCGACGAGAAAGATCAATATCTCAACACTTACCTGACTTCCTTGAAACTTGAACACATGAACTTATGGGATCCTGACACACAAACGTCGGATTGGGAATGTTTACCCCTCCCCGAGGAGCTAGTCGAACGATGCGCAGCGCTCAATGCCAAACAGAACGTCATTCAGGATCTGGTAGATATTATGGGGAAGCTGTCTGAAACAAGCCAAGATGTCGAGAGAGTGCTGAAAGAGATATCGAAACTTCTGTTGGACGAGGAATTGAAGTACGTAGTCGTATTTGATCTCTCTTTTGTTAAGAATTTGCAGCCGAACGATGTCGTGGACGTAACGTAGCGATAATCAAAGAATATATTATTAATTAATTTGGATCTCTCGCAGAGAAAAGCAATACCAAGATGCAGTGGGTAAGAGGCCACCATCCATAGTAGCGACCGACTTAACTAGAGAAGCCAAAAAGTACGAAGAGGCGCATAACAAAGCTTCCGAGAGTAACCAGGCTCTTCATAAAGCGATCACAATGCACGTGAAGAACTTGAAGATCCTTGCGCAGCCATTAGCTGACCTGATGGCGCATATCCCTTCGCCAAGCGCATATTTGCCAGGTAATTTTTGCTAACTATCCAATAATATATGTTTGTGCATATGTTATTACGTTACGTTATGAAACAATAATTGATTTGTTTTCAATTGTTCAATTGTTTTCAATTCATTTGCATTCGAATTGATCATTCGAATAACTCTTTGTGATTCAGATCAAGGTTCTGAAAAATCGCAAAATTCAAAGGAGATAGAAAAGATGCATACTAAGGAACTGAAGCGCATATTAAGCAAAGTAGAAGAGATGCGAATGCAGAGGCACGACTTACACACCAAGTTGCGAGACTCGATCGCCCAGGATGACCTGACGCGTTTACTAGTCACGGCGACCTCCGAGTCCAGTCCTCTGGACCGTTTATTCGCGGACCAGCTTAGCAAGCATGAGAGTCTGGTGAGTGAAGTTTCCTCGACATTCAATATTTCTCCTTTTCAATATAAAGGCTCCCGAGATTTACAATCAAATAGCAATGAAAAGCAAGTGAAAGCCAAGTCATACAGATGTTATAATTTAATTTATTTGTATTCTTTATTAACGGGATATACTCTCTTTGGTATATAATAGAGAAAACAAAGGAAATCAAGGAGAAAAAAGAAGAAAATAAAAAGCTGAAAGAAAATTCAATGATCAATAATAAAATTAACTTTCGATTCGATTTTTTATCACGACATATCCGAATTTAGGCATTGATATATTAATCAATCGCAGCAATCGAATATGGATTAGTAAATATGCTAATCCCATTTACAGGCTTCAATCTTCCATTTAAAATTTTGCGAAGTAATCGAGAAAAATCGCAATTTTTCAGATTTCTATTAGGTGTATTAAGGTTAAATAACGTTAATATAGAAAGGCATGAAATTATCCCACTTACCAACCTATACAAAAACAAGAGATCAGATATTATCCTTCTAATTTTAAGCGGTCATTCCTAAATCCGCAAGTGTGGGTCGATAATCACGATATGTTATAAGCATCGGTTCGCTTATGTAATAACTTGCACGACGGAGAAATCGATGCTGCATCCTAAATCCAAATAATTAGGCCATATTCAACATAGAGTCGAGTCAATGTTACAAATATCGTATAAGATATATCGATCAAACGTCCCTGAAATTTTGACCGTCTTTCCCACCTGTAACGATCGGCCCGATACTGGATATATACACCTGTTCCAGGTGAACTTAATAGAACAAAATCTCGCCGCACAAGACAACATACTGGCGGCTCTGACCGATGTGTACGCGCAGACGGCGAACGTGCGGAAGAACGTCGAGGAGATCCTGAAGCGGCGGGAGATGACGATCTCCTCCCTGATGGCGTCCTATGACGCGTACGAGGACCTGCTGGCAAAATCGAGCAAGGGCTTGGAATTCTACAGGAAGCTGGAGATCAACGTGTCGAAGTTGCTGCAGCGAGTGAAGAGCACGTGCAAAGTGCAAGAGGAGGAACGGGAGCAGATACTCGCGCAGGACAGCAAGAACGAGAAGACCGAGGCGACGACGTCGTCGACTTACGAGCAGACGCGTCCTCCGCGATCCAATGGCCTGAAGCTGAAGGATTACCTGAACAACCGGGTCGAGGGCGGCACCGGCTACCAGAATCCTTACTACAATCTCTACAAAGGACACGTTTCGGCTATGCAAGTGGACTCGAAGGTATTACCGACCACCGACCTGGCGGACAAAGGCCAGCCGTCCGAGATCCCGTCCTCGTCGGTGAAGTCCTCGCACTATTACCCGGCGACCTACGCGGACTACAGGGGCACTGGTGGCGGGCCGTATTCCTACAACACTCAGACCTACTACGAGAACCCGATCGTCAATAGCGCCATGAATCAGAGCTACCTGCCAGCCACCAGCACGATCGCCACGAGCGTCTACCAGCAGCCGATCTTCTCCGCTTCTGCAAGCACTTCGGGCTACCCTGCGAGCTCCTACTTGCCGAACGGACAACCCGGCACGTCCGGCGACGGGCAGGACAAGTACCGAGGTGCGTCGCAGCCCGCTTCTTACAACACCGTCTCCAACAGCGCTCTGCAGTACGACGCGTATCACCAGCCGGGTTACAACAGCTACAACGTCGCCACGCCGTACGCCCCTAATCAGGACAAGCTGAAGAGCGGCACACCGGAGGTACCATCGCAGGCCTCCACGATGAGCGTCACCGTGGACGGCCAGAGCCCCTACGTCGTGCAGCAAGATCCGCAGTACGACGGGCAGAAGGAGATGCCCGGCCAGAGCGTAGTGAGACCTCAGCTCCCGGCGAAGGATGCACCGGCTCAGAACTACTCGTTGGCCGGTAGCCAAGCCGACATGGCGTACCCGCAGACTTACCCGAGCGCGTACTACAACCCGGCGGAACTCCAGGCGACTCAGCGAGCCTACGACACGACGCAGTACATCCAGGGTGGCGGCGGCAACCAGCAGCCGGTGAACCCCGCGCAATACCCGCAGCAGAGCACGGATCAAAGCAAGCAGCCGTACGCCTCCTACGGCGGCCAACAGATGAACCCTGCTCCGGGAACTTACCCGAGTACTTATCAGAATTACCAGGCCACTTCCGCCACACCGTATCAGCAGCAGACCGGCCTGCCGGCCGCGGACGCGACCTACGTTTACTTGAACAGCTCGAGCGGCTCGGAGATGATCCAGAGCCACGCGAAGCCGACGACGGTGCAGAGTTATTCGCAGTCGTACCCGTACTCGCATCAGGACGTTTACGGCTACGCCCAGTACCCGGGCTACTCGCAGACGCAGAATTACGCGTACATGCAGCAGCAGCCGATGACGTACACGTACAACCCTGCTGGCCAAGGCTACGCTTACCCGGCCAATAATGCTCAGACCACGCAGGTCCCTCAGACGATGGAGGCGGTCTCGCCCGCCACCGTCACCGGCGGCTATCAGCAGCAAGAGACGAACGCGAGATACACGAACGCCGGCAACAACGCCGTGGTCACCCAGACGGCGTCCTCGCAGTACAGTCAGGTGCCTCAGAGCCAAAACGGAAGCGATACGTATTACACCACGCCTTATGGTCTTCAGATGCAGCAGGGTCAAGGTAGTTCGATGTTGAGATGTATTCCTCGCTGGGATTCGACGCCAGTCGCATGGGAGTGTTCACCTTTCTTCACTTAAGGAAACGTGAATTTTTAGGAGAAAAATTACTTTCCTCGCTTCTTCTCTGGACTTTCCCCGACTTGAGCTCTTTAAAAAGAATTCTAGAGAAGTCATGTTCAATAACTAACTTCTTTAAAGGCAAAACAAAAGTTTTAAAGCAAATAGAAAGTTGTTGTTAATAAACGAACTTAACAGAAACAGGCAATGACTGTCATGAGCACATCTGTTTTTTCTTCTCATTGAACATTATTTTTAGAAACTTGACTAGCTAGTCTGTTTTCAAGAACGAGGATAATTTAATTTTTCTTTTTATTTCTAAAATTTGTTTTTGTTTGAGGGAAAGATTTTGGGATACCCAACATCCTGAAAATATTTTGCAATGTAGCTTAATTATATTCAAACACTGTTCTTTTATTTTATTTTATTAAATGTATGTTTGAAAAAACATAAATGTAATTCCTATTTTGTGTAAAGTTTTTTTATCATATCTGAACTTGTGTCTAAGACTGAGTTTAATATAAATTGTAGGTTCTAAATATTATAACATATTTTTATTCTCCGAGATCTTTTAATTTTATTCTTCTTGTAAAATTGTTTTTTACCATAAGTATTTTAATCTCTTAGAGAAATGGTATAATAAATAAACCTTAATTTTAATGTACAAATTATTTAGAAAAGACTCATTTTTTTAAGCTGACTCGATATTTCCTTTTTTTTTTTTTTCAAGAATGAAACTCACTTTTCTCGCTATTTTTGACAGCTAAACCGCTCTCATGCTTGTCGACACAACCATCATCGTTCTGTTTTTACTGCATATTCAGTGAATGACGAAGATAATGCTTGGGTCGGCTTATGCCGCTGAATGAATAGCGTTCGACGTCATCATTTCCATGTTCTCATGTGGCTCCTTTTTCTTTCAGTGGGCTCAGTCCCGAGACCTGAAAATCACAACAATTACAATCAGACGTACATGCAGGCGGCGAACAACGGGACGAACACGACGACGAGCGCGAATCCGATGAAACTCACCATCAAGTCCGACGAGCCGAAATCAAACGTCGACCTCTTGTCCGACCTCGACATCACCATAAATCACGCGCCCCTCGTGCCGGAAGTGCGGCCTCTGTCCACGGTGCAGAAGAAAGAAGAGGCAGCGACGGGCGAAACCGCGGAAAATGGCAAGGCGGAGAAGAGCGAGCAGGATAAAGCCCAGAAGACTGAACCGGAAGCGACAGCTTCCACCGAGGACAAGACCGACCACGAGAACTTGCAGATCGTGTGGGACACCTGGTACAACGACGTGCAGCCGAAAAAGGATCCCCTGGGCGAGCCGGTGGCGCTACAGAAATTCATCAATGACGTCGAGAAGTACGAGAAATTTGTGGACAGTTTGCTGGTGAAGACTCTCAGCGGGGCTACGAATCTTGACATCAAGTGGAAGGAAGTACAAGACTTCGAGGTGAGCTCGAAATCGATCTTTACCGGTGTTGTTTCATCGTAGGGTGAAGATACATTTCGGGGAAACTCTGCGTTCCTTCTTCTTCAGGAACGGGAGAATGGAAAGCAATCGAGCACCGTGGCGTTGGCTCACTCGTCCGAGAATCGTGCAGTTGATTGCATTCCGTACGATACGACGCGAGTGCTGATATCCTCGCCGGACGTCTCGTCGTACATCAACGCGTCGCACGTCATGGAGATCACGCAGTGGATACCCACGGCATTTATTATCACTCAGACGCCTCTGCCGGATAAACTGGACGTCTTCTGGACGATGATCTGGGAACAAGAAAGCGAAGTTATCGCTTGCTTAGCGTCCGACGCTCAGGTTTGTACACGGCAGACGACACACACTTGCCTATGCACAATCAGAAAAGCGAGACGAGAAACAAATCTACGGCGATTTGTCGATGTGCGTTCGCAGGCATGGGAGCGATTCTCACTTTTCTCACTTATTTAAACAAATGTTTTCTTACTCAACTTGATTGAACGTTCTCGAGAAAGGACTTGATCATGAGAAATTATATTCTGTATCGTCATTAACGACACAATGTTCATAAAATGAAGAATTATGATTTTACTTTTAAACTGTTTCCACCAGGTTTGTTAGAAAAACAGACAATAATCGGCGTAAACACAATTGGCTATTTTTCTCCTTGTAAAGAGTTTTACTGGATCTAAGAATATGTGTATAAAATTGAGTTTAAAATAAATTTTAAGTTCTATATATCATGTAACATTTTTTGTTCCCCAGAATTCAAATTTTTCTCTTCAGTGACTCTCACTATAAGGTTAGTGTTATTAATCTCTTAGAAAAATGGTATAATAAATAAATAATTCTTAACGTACAAATTATTTGTAAGATTCACTTTTTACGTACTTTTTTTTAAGCTGAATCACTATTTTCCTATTTTTCCAAGATAAAACTTATTTTTCTTCCTATTTTTGACAGTTAAATCGCTCCCATCTCTGTGATTGCTTTCAGTTTTGCAAACCGGAGACATCTCATTTACTCCGATAATTAGAAGTTTGAAGAGAGTTTTTAAAATGTACGGAAATTCGTGCTACCTCTTCGCTCTTCGTGTTCTCTTGGTATTAGGAGGCGAAAATCGGGCAATTGATAATTTAAAAACCTTGAAGAAAACGCGGCAAATCTACGGAAATTCGTGCTACCTCTTCACTCGTTATATTCTCCTGGTATTAAGAGGCGAAAATCGAGAAATTGATAATTTAAAAACTTGAAGAAAGCGCGGCAAATCTACGGAAATTCGTGCTACCTCTTCACTCATTATATTCTCCTGATATTAAAACGTGAAACAGTACTGATGTCTTCGATTTGCAAAACCGAAGTTTGTTGAACACTGTTTATTTTTTCTCATAACACCGTTCTTTGCATTTGTCTTGATTGCGTGAAATATCTTTGCAGCTAAATGGCGAGTTATACTGGCCCATGAGTGAAGAGAACAACTTAGATATAGAAAATTTTGCAATTTCGCTAAAGAAGACGGTGAACCATACAACCTACGTTCAAAGAATCCTCTCCGTGCATCACAACAAGAAGAAAATCGAGAGGGTAGTTGTACACATGCAGTTCCTTGTGTGGCCTTCGAAGTGAGTAACTTTTTTTTCGTCGAAATCAATTCGAGATAAAAGTACGCATTCGAAACAATCTCACCTGTTTCTCAGCGGTTTTCCGAGCAGTCCCGGCACCTTACTTGGATTCTCCACCGACGTGATGACAGAACAGGCGTTGAGACGTTGCTCTCCCAAGCCAGTGGTCGTGCATTGTTTGGACGGTGGTTCTTTGAGCAGTTTATTCTTAGTAGCTGCTGCAACAGTATGCCACATTCGGGCGGGTTGCGGAATCGTGAACGTGCCGCTGGTCTTTAAGGGCCTGGCGAAGTGTCGCAAACAGGTCGTCAATAAGGAGTCGTTGCTGTTCGCATACAGACTAGTTTTGTACCACGCTCAGGACATTTTAATGAAACGTGAGGAAACAGTGGCCTTCGGCGGCTGTATCTTTGCACGAAACTCACTCACGCAAAGCGTAACTCGATTTTTCCACAGGCGGTATTTTGTCTTCTACTCGATCCACGTTTGAGAATTTCGACGGATTCAAAGGGAACAAGGAGAAGGCGTCGAGGAGGCTGCAGTGCCACCCGTCTGACGATTTTCTGCACAATCTTGGCGTCGGAATGCATCGTCCTGATCCTGAACAAGGTATGCGACTAGTATGAAACCTACTTCGCAAAGTCTGAAGAGAATTTTCAGCACACGTTGAATTTTAACTCGTAATCGACTGTTGCCCCTGAAGCCGCCAAATCTGATTTCAGGAAAGACACAAGCGAATGACAACGCGATCAGTTCAGCATCGCAAGAGAAAAATACTGACGGAGTCGTTGATCCTTTGAGCCAATTGGATCCCCTGTGGTCTATCAGAAGATAATTATACGCTGCTAGGAATGCGCGGATTTCGCTGTGCAGCTTCAAATCGACGATTATTTAGATAGCCATCCCTATATCTTTGTTGAAATGATTGCGCGAGAGTGGCGAGCTACAAAGTATGTATAAATGTTGCAACGGAACTAGAACAACAACTCATCTAAATTAGCCTCGAAATAAAAGACATTTATTCAAGTATTTCCTAATCCTTAAGTTTTAAGGGTTTACAATCTGTTAAATATATATATAGAATAAAAAATATAAAACGCATGCTCTCCTACTCGCATTCATTTCCATATTTATACATCTCGTGTGGCCTAAGCGCAATGCAATCTAATTGCACTGCTTCGTTCGAATTTCATTATATTTAGGCTGTAATGTACGTTAATCCACCTATAAGATAGTCTCGCATTTATTTGACGTCTTAGTACCAACTTAAACACACTCGTGTGAACACGCCTCGTGTCACCACAAGCAATAGCGTAATATAATGTAAACCCGATGAAATATTTATTTACGACACGATTTCGGCGAATAAAGATGCTTTCGTTAATAGAACTGTTCAACACTAGCGCATTGGATGCGACGTGCATGTCTGTCACACAAACGATCCTTTTTACCTATATTGAAAATCTACGCGAGTGTCCGTAAACAATTATGTCACCCCTAATTAATTAGTCATGTGTCGAACGTCATGACTTTAATCGAGATACAATGCCGGGGAGAGGGATGCACGCTAAACGCCGGAATTCCGATAAACTGTATATAGCAGTATTTATATTTAATATCGTTGTTCGTATGTTCACGGCGAGATTTTATCTAGAAAAATTTCGGTTACACTGGATTATATCGGGATGAACACGCCACACAAGCGCGTGCCCATCGCGGAACTCGTGCGCAAGTGAATATAAATGTAAAAAAGAGAGAAAGAAGACACGTTGTAACGTATAATAAACCTTTTAACGATACGAATCTCGGTTGAGTGCTCTTAAGCCCCTCTGTTTCGTAGATCCTTCACTTTATAGATTCGCACGAGCCAATGCTCTGTGGTGTACGCCTCTTCCAGCGTGTCCAGCTCGAAGTCCTTATTCCCGATCTCCATATTTCGAACTCTGTCGTAGCCCGACGGCTTACCTGTTTAAGACACGCGATTAGATAAAAAATCTCGCTGCAATCTAGACTTACGGTTCAGCTGAGGAGACTCTCACCGCCTTCTGTGTAGATCTGGCCGAATCTGTAGTAGCACATTTTGTACATGAGACAGTTGAGCAAAACTGGAGATCCCTCTTTGTCCACTCGAAATTCGCCCGCGGAGTTGTAGTAATTCCACTCGGTTATAGATTTCCCCTTCTCCGTACTGCCACCGATGCGCACCATCCATAGGAACTTGTTTATATCTGATGAAGATTCATCAAGTAATTAATCATATATATATAAAATAAACCAATGATATTCTGCGATACGTTTCATCCACGTATTTCCACGCGATTGAGCTCACCATCCGATGAGTATCCAGTGAGTCCACCAAAAATCACGAGGACATAGTTAACATCCAATTCCCTCATTATCTCGTAAGCCTTTTCCTCGGAACTCGCCATCGCCTGTCCGACTCTTGATATGTGCGTATTATTCCACGTGTTATTGTCTACTAGGATAGTACGATTCGCCATTGCGGTTATCTGATAGCCGTAGTCCCACCAAGACATTACTTTAGCGTTCTACGAGGAACAGGGAATAATAGAATTTGCTTCGGTATTATTTTCTAGCAAAGTCGAGCTTGCCGAGCGATAATCGATTTCACCTAAGAGCCATCTCGTAATTATGTCCACTGGTTGCTCGAATTCCAAGTGTTTCATGGCTTGCGTATAAAATAACGAGTAAAAAATAAAAATGAGATTATCACCTCGGGCGTATTCATGCGTAGCCAATAATACGCTTCCCTGAAATCGTCGAAGATCATTCGTCCACCGTCAGGCGATCGTGCGGACAATACGATGCTGGGTGAGCTGTAAGCTTCCGCTGTAACCCACGTGCAATGAAGGGTATAAGAGAAGAAGAGTACACACATGACTGTGATGAAAAACGTGGCGATCTGAAAAGATCAGACGTTCCGTGATTTAACACTCCTGAACGCGTTCATTTTTCGGAATACAAGGAGTTCTTGCAGCCTACCTCACTCCTCAAGACGTAGTTACTTTCGAACTTCTTGGCTTTCTTGTCGGTAACCTTGGAACCTTCAACTTGCTTCATATACGTAACCAGCAGAGAGGACGCTCCAATTCCACCCAAAATGCACATTACTGGAGCGAGTACCAGCATCAAACGTACCATCACTCCCTGAAACGAACAAATGGACGTTATTTCTGTGTGATATAGATAGAAATTTCATCTACATAGAAAATATGTTTGTAACGGAGAAATATCTCATAGAATATGGGAGTGTATATTGGCATCTCTATATATCCCAAGTGTGCGAGAAATATAAGAATTTAGGGGGTGTGTGCTGTAGTACAACCGTAAGATTACTTACTGCAAAATATAAACTGGTAACTCCATACAAAATAAGGAAAATGTTCGAGTCCGTTAACTTAGAAAAACAGAAATATAAGCCTGATGGGAACAAAAAGACAAGTATCTGCAGGTCAAAGTAGAAGGAGCTCCATGATGTTGGCTGATGTTCCGAAACGGAAGCGATTATTGGAATGTGATTTTTTGCATAAGATGGATCAAGCAGCGAGTAAAAGCGTCCGGTCCACGGCGATATTTTCCCTTAAAAGAATCAAGAAAAGCACAGGAGGATATCATGAAAGAAATAATATACTTGGTGTACACGCACAGGTGTATCGAACAACAGATCAAGAACTGTGTGAGATCCGTACCTGTAATGGTCAAGATACCACCAACTGTGCACGACATAGTAACCACTACTATGACAAGAGCACGGAACAACACTTCAAACTCCTTTTGTGACAGCTTACTCCGCAAATAATCTACTAGCGCGTGTATTTGGCAGAGGCCAAAAACGCCCAGTGCCTATGAGGGTAAAGTAATGTAAATAAAACTACACCCGCGACTTCTCGCTATGCTTGGATGCAAATGAAAGCGCGTTACTACAACGACACTTACAAGCATATGCTCGGAGCTTTGAACGGGTTGAAAGCCAACAAACGATATCTGCATAGATAGAATTGTGCCTAAACAATACAAGATACTGTACGCAATGTATATCCTGTGGGAAAACCGGCCAGTCACCATCAAGGTCAGCACATGTAACGGTATCAAATTGATCAAAAAGACGTATCCTCCCCACGAGGACACCATGTAGAAGTACGCCAGTGCAGAACACGTAGCCCAACATATCGCTCCCGTTTTCACGGCTTTGATCCACATGTAATACGTGAATAACATGCAAAAGATCGCTATGCCTTCATTGTCGTACGATCCTGCGACCGATCGAGATATGTAACCGGGTACAATAGCGATCATTGCGGCCGCGAATAGGCCTGACGCGGAATCCTGCAAGAACGGATCGATTTGATAAAATATCTTCTGTACTTAACTAAAAAATGAGTAGAAGAAACAATTTCAAGAGTCACCTTCAACTCTTTGGTAAGCAGATAAGTAATGATCGTAGTTAAACTTGAGAACAATGGAGCAAGGAAGACACAAATGTTACGTATTTCCAGTGTGATGTTCAGCAACCACGAGAGACGGTACAGTGCTGCAGAAGTTATCATTAATCCAGGATATATGGTTCCTGCAAAAATTATTTTAAATGCTTAGAATTATCCGGTTCTCTTCTAAGGGGATTAAAGTCTTTCGATAAACAGTACCTCCTATTATCCTGCCAAGTGGATACCAGACACGATCATCAAACCAATTATGAAAGCTGTAGAAGCCATTTTCGGCTAAATATTTTGTTGTGCGATAATTGAAGTATGGATCGAATTCGTGGATGACACTTTCAAATCTTAATACTGAGAACAAACGTGTTGCAAATGCTGCAAAGAATAATTACATGTGAAAATAATGATGCAATTGAATGCAACGTTTCCGTGCTTGAGCAAAAATCCAAGTGGAGAGATAACGAGCTTACATAAGATTGCTGCTAAAGAGAGCACAGTCAATTTCAACAGTGTTTCTTGCTTTTGCGCTGTCATGCGCAGACCCCTTGCTTTCACCAACGACACCATGTCGACGCGAAGAAATGCACGATAATCTCAAGTAAACCGAGCCCTATAACGTTAACCTGCAAACAACATGAATGTTATTCAACTCAAGATATCGCCTTCGTACATTATAAATTAAAATACGTCTGACAAAACGCAAGGTGTAGATATCTGAGTTTGATTTTCAGGAAATAACTATATATTGAAAACGAATATAAAACGAACACATGTCCGTCGTTACTTAAAGGTTATAATTGCATTAGTAAAATAAACCGCACACGGTAGAGCCGAAGCAATGAGAGTCACGTGAAAGAAACGTAATCAGAAACGCTGCTAATCTTAAAGTATATCAATGCGTTCAAAAAAATGTGCGTGTACACCTTGAAATAACACCGTGTGTAACATCACGACTGACCACGTACACAAAATTACCGGCCGGTGACATATACACATCGCTCTTATCACATTTTATTCCGTATATATTAGAATAAGTGCTCCAACGCCTCGGAAATATCGAGAGAAACTTACGAAATTACTGTATGCAAGAAATGCCGAGAAAAGAAGGTGGCCATTTAAATTATTAACTAAGAAATATCACAATTCCAAAAGAAAAGACATAGATTATAACCCGCAATACGATGGTTTGATCAATCGAGATGGAATTAAGGAGATGAGAAACTCCTTGCACAATTCTGTACGTCGTTCACAGAAACCAAATATATTATCGCACAATCGACGTCTCTCAATAAATATGATTTCTTCGAATAATATATTTTATTCGAAATATATTTTAAATCCAGTCAAAGCAAAATGTAAAAATTCGAAAATAACAAATATTTAGCCGTCAGTAAGCACACATTGTTTAGCCAAAGGTAGGATTGTAAAATTAGATGGAGTAAAATTGAATCTTTATATCGAATTTTATAAGAATAGAAATCTTTTCGGAAATATGAATTTTAATAAGATTATAAATAAAATATAAATATTTGCATTCTTATTGGAATGTGCAGCTCAGGCGCCATTTTCATTTTCACTGCAAGTTACAGGAAATGCACGCTGCCTCATCTTCGATGCTATTATTCGATGCTTCAGTTCATCTATGTTCAATGAATTGTTCCCGCCAAGCAACCGGTGTGAGCCAGCATCTCTATTATGTTTGGTAGAGCTCGCAGTACGACAGTATTGCAATTAAAAGTTGCGATTTAATTTAGTTTATTTTAATTTATATTAGTGTAACCTCCGCCCTTATCGTGCAGATATGTCGGAAGGTAATCAATATTCACGTTTACGATGCGTTTTACGCCAACATCACGCGACCGATTTAACCTCAAAAATTTTACAATTGCTGTTTATGCGGGTTTGACGTTAAAAATAAATTTGTTGTAACCTCGGAGAGTCAAAACATCGTAGAGATAATCTATGTTTTTCATTATCCGAAAAAGTATCACCGCATTTATTTTTCTTAGAGCAACATATGCGTTCTTTTACGCGTTCTTTTGCGCATTTTTCACAACAGCCTGTAATAATAATGAAATAATTCGCCGAAATTTTTATGTTATACATCTTTTACATTATATGTATCTTACTGTCTGTATGAGAATAATTTTAAGATGTTTATACACTTATATCTTGATATCTATCTTTATAAGTGATGTGACTGAAAGTTAAAAAAAATGATATTTTCTGGCATAGACAAAATAACAACAGAAGACATGTGGACTCCGTATAAAGAGTTACAAAGTCTTGTTGACAAGTACATAATATCGGTCCCAGATATACAAGACCCACAATATCATGAACTTACAGAAGCTTTGAGAAATCATAGGCAAAATTTCCTTGCTATCTTGAAAAATCCTGTAAGTATATGCATCATCTTTTCTACTAGATATGACACCAATATAATTTCAGAATGGAAAACTCCGAAAGAGAGATTATATTTTTATAGTACACACATGTACATATGTTATTACATTGATTATAGAATAAATAATTTACTTAATGTGTTGTATATAAATATATATTATATACAATACGATAAATATTATATATTAACGTTATATTTTCTATAGCCAAAAAAGATAAAAAGTCGGGAGGAGATTCAGAAAGGTGTTACCGAAGGTATAACACTACCTGGCTTGGGTCATCAAATATTATCGAAGGAATTAGTAGATGAAACTCTCATCATATCAGATATGTATGATTTGAATGAGTTCATGGCGTTGGATCTCCTCTGTACGGCTCAGCTTCAAATGCCACATTATCCTGGATTAACGCGCGGTCTAACAGCTATCCTTCTGTATTATGACGGAAGAAAAGCACTAACTTCAGTCTTAAGGACATTGGTGCACACTCGCATTGGCCACAGTTGGGCGGTGGACGTGCCGGTTGCTCTCACAAGGCACATTACGGAATACACAAACAAGTTGCAAGAGGATGGCCTGTTGAACAGGATCTTGTCCCTGTTGGAAGAGATGGACCCTACTAAGGTATTACATTCAGGAAAGGAATGATGTAGGAGTAGAATCTTATGAAAAAAAAATGTTACTACCATTTTTTACGGAGAAATGTAATGCAGTATGAATATATTTGACAGCTTCTATCATTGAAGTGCGTTAATTTTCTGAAAAATAATTTCACGCAGGAGCAAGATTTGCTGCAGCAGAACAGAGCGTTGGGCGGAGCGAAACATCACCAGATGGTGATGAAACTTTACAACGACACGCGACAAGACCTGGCCGACATTTTGTACCTATGGTCTGCTCAGTCATCGCTACCGAACACAATTCTGTTCCGTCTGTTGTCGATGCTGCAAGTACGTCAAGTAGAATCCGAAGCGGGTGAAGGAGGACCCGATACGGTTACCCTCGCTCTTATCATGGCCGTTTTGAACGCCATGAACTTCAGTTTTCTGCACAGCCGCGAGAACGGCGAAGGTACCGCGCGAGTTCCGCTGATCGGCGCTTCGGCACGATTTTCACGACGATTCTAATACCGACGCTTCTTGCAGAATTAATCAATTCGATACCACTGATAGCGGAGAGAGGAATACTGGAGGAAGTGAATCAGAAGTTGATGTCCGCGAGCATAAATTGGGAAAGCGCCGGATTGCGCGGTGTGATACAGTTCGCTCTGGCGATAGCCATAACGACGATCAAGACGACCACTGCTCAGTTCCAGTCGCAGAACATCACGACGGAGGATGACATATTGATCGAGGCGGCCCTGTCCAACAAGGCTTTCCACTTCATGGCCGAGGTCCTGTTCAAAAGTAGCTGTATACATCAGGAGGAATTCTACGTTCGTTATTTTCATACCCTCATCTCCGACTTTATACTGCTGATGCCGATGAAGGTGAAGGAACTGCGTAGTCGCGCCGACGAGTCCATACGGTTGATACAGGCGTTCCAGCAGGAGTGCATCAAACCCCCCATGAATCTGGACAACCATTTCGAGTACTTGATGCTAATGGTGGCGGAACTGTACAAGAAAGACCCGTTGAAATTGAACCTGGCCATGGACTATTGGTGTCACCACACCGACACGACTCCCGCGTACATAAGTCGCCTGCCTCCCAGACAAGTCGCTCTCTTCAAGTTCGTACGGCTCGCCGAAGAGATATCGTCCGGCTTGTTCGTCCCCTACATAAAGATGATAGCGTCTCTCGCCTCGTCACCGCAAGCGGCGAGACACGCGTTTAACTTTTTCAAATCTAACGGTGAGTGTAACCGCGAACTAATCAGATTTACGCCCATCCTCACAACACAAACCCATAAGTCAATTTTCAACGGTCATTACATTCAATTCACTTCGAGCCAATTCATTGTACGTTTATTCAATTCAATTTGCTACATTGCTATGCATCGCCTTTTATTGGCTTCTTTCACTAATTTACTTAATTGTATGTTAAGAGTCTTGTATATAAAAAATTATATTAGATTAAAGCTAAAAGTTATTTTGAACTTGAATGAACAATGTATTCTGATTGGAATTTCAAGATAACTTTTCTGACAAAAAAATCTGAAATATTGTAATGAGAGCCATTTTTGGCACATAAAACGCGGATAACTTTGAAAATCTGACGGTAAAATTTCGCTTGCGAAATTTAATTAAAAAAATAAATAAAATTTCGGTATCGTTTCCAGCATCCAAAAATCTATGAGAAACAAACACCTTGTCTGGTTCAAAGTAATTAAGAAGGGAATTTTTTCGTAAACCAGTGTTATCTAGCATAAATATTTTCATACAGGGTCTCCGGGTTCAGCGACGATTTCTTGGGACCACTTCTTCAATTCCTTGAGTCGATACTACTACAACTTGAGACAGGAATTGCCCCCCAGTCAAGACACGGTGTACCGGCAGAGGTGTCACCCGAAGGGGATCATGCCTCAGGAGGTGAAGGGACTGGAAGCGGTGCTGCTGGTGGTTCAAGTGATCGCGAAGAACGACGAGATGTCTCGAGTCGCGATATGCGACCATCCGGGTTGGAAGGTCCTGCCGTCCCTGATCGGCTTGGTGAGCTGTGCGATGCCGATACCGCTGAAGGGTGTGCTGGTGAGGACGCTCGCGGCGTTGGCCAGGTCTGCGGAAAGCTCCTCCACTGTGTGGCAGAGCCTGGAGGCCGCCCAGATCCTCTCCACCATACCGACGACGAGCAGTTACCAGCCGAGAGGCGTGCAGACGGAACTGGAGGAGATCGAGTCCAGGAACGAGGAGTACCCGTTGACGCGCGCCATGCTGGAGCTCCTGGACGTGCTGACCGACTTCCCGATACCGCGTCTCCTGGGCGTCGGGCAACGCAACCCAGGATTCGACCCGTACCTGCACTTCGTCATCAACACCGTCTTCCTGAGATTCTACACCCGCTCGTACAAGAACCCCGCGGAGAAGTGGGAGGTCGCGGAGGCCTGCTTGAAGATCTTCTCCAAGCTGATCAAGCAGTACGAGCCGAGCATCGAGGACTTCGTAGGCTGCAAGGTGGAGCTGCAAGGCGGCGAGACCACTTCGGTGAACTCGGCGCCGGGGTACCATCTGATGACGCAACTGCACAAGGCCACCGAGTTGCTGCACGTGGTGTTGTACATCTTGGACGAGGGCTGCCTTCACTTCGACACTTACGACACCTTCCCGGGCAAGAGGCACCTGGAGAGCTGCAGTCTTCACTGCCTGGAGGTGCTCGAGCGCGGGCTGAGGATGCAGAACAACTACATGGCGCAGTTGGCCGTCATACCTGTGAACAAGCTGATGACCGGTCTGTCCCGCCTGCTGCTCGGGGTGAATCCTCGCACCGGCAAGCCGGATCACATGATCAACATCGTCAAGTACGTCTCGTACAACTCGTGGCTGCCGAAGCAGGCGTTCGTGGCCATCGGTGTGATTCACGGCGTGACCAACGAGCCCGGGGCCGATTCCGAGTTGCTGGCGATGTTCACGGCCACCCCCACTTTGGCGACGAACATCAGGCACGGCTTCGTCGAGTGCCTAGACGCGGACGGCGTCTCCGAGGAGGAGGACGAGGCGATCGGCGGCGAGCAGGCCAGGCAGCAAATGGGGAACTGCAAGGAGAGGATTCTGCTGATGATGATGCACAGCATCAGCCGGCCGGCGCCGAATCTCGCGCACTACTTGCTCGGGTTCGAGATCACGAAGGACATCAGGAAGACCGTTATCCAGCAGCCGGGCATCCTCGGCTTCCCGCGCACCTGCCTGCACTCGATCCTCGGCATCCTGGAGCAATCCCTCGACCGCGGCCGAGACAAAATCACCGAGGCCTGTTACTGTTATCTCCACACGTTGACGGCCAACAGCAAAACCTCGGCGCCCGTCTTGAGATTCTTGCGCACCACCAGCAACCAGGACTTCGTGCAGAGGCACCTCTCGAAGCTGCCGTTCCAAGGGCCGAACAGGTCGACCGAGCTCGGCTGCATGTCCTGGATGCTGAAGATAGCGGCGATCGAGCTGCGAGTCGCCGGCGGCAGCCTGCAGACCTCTCTGATCCAGCGACTGGTGGGCAGCTTCAATCAGGACAAGGACCAGATCGTGCCGTCGCAGAAGCTCCTGATGGACCTCCTGCACTACATCGACTTCCAGCTCTACCTGGAGCCCGCCAAGTCCTGGGAGTTCTTCGACCCGTCGCAGATCGAGGTGGTGCTCGGCCGTTGCAGCACTCCGCTCGCGCTGATGGGCGGCCCGCGGCTCATCGACATCAGGAAACTGCACTCCCTCATCACCGAGGAGCTGACGGTGACGCAGAGCAGCGCGACCGCGACCCAACGCAAGCTCATGCAGCAGGAGGTGAAGTCGATACTCGGGCACGCGCTGAAGAAGAACCAGACGAAGGTCTTGTCGTACGCGACGGTCAAGTTCGTCGAGGGCTGGTGCCAGACGACGGAGATACTCTTCTCGGTCGCGACGAATCAGCAGCTGCCGGCGACCCAGCGGCAGAACCTGCTGTTGAATCTCTCGCACGATCTCCTGCAGAAGATGACGTCCTGCGAGGCGCTGAGCGAGATCAAGACGCTGGTATCCGGGACGGTGCTGATGCTGCTGGTAAACCTCCGCAACAATTTCATGATCCGGTCGGACAACGAGCTGGTGCCGTCGTCGCCGTCGAACACGACGATGATGAAGATCATCCTCAGCCACATCTTGCAGTGGATCGTCAACGCCGGCGCCTCCTCGCAGAAGGTCGTCACGCATCTCTACGCGGCCCTCTTGAACTTCCTCAGCATCGTCGGCCTCGAGAAGTCCGAGCACGTCGGCACGCTCGACGCAACGTATGTCAGCCAGCTGGACAACACGTTGAACCGACTGATGCCGTTGCAGGAGCGGTCGCAGCGCTATGCGACCATACAGGTCAGGGTCGCGTCTTTACGCGAATGCCTTGTCTTTTTCTTACATTTCGTACGTTTTTTATTTTCTTTCTGATTAAAATTCACAGGTAAATCTGAATGATAATATTTTATATTAACAGTATGTGTATGTATCTTTTATATCACTATACGTCCCGGACCAACAGGGGTGAACTTCGTGAAGGCATAGAACGGTTTGAACAAACAAATTCTCTTGCATTTTCAATAATTAATAACTCGAGATTTTGCGTGTTGTTTGTAAAATAGTACAGGGTCTTTCTATCTATACCTCGATCCGTTGTACGCCCTCACGAAGTTCGTCCCTGTTGATTTGGGACACCGTATATAGATATTTTAAATATGTGCGCAAAGTAATTTTTTATATCCAATTTTACTTGTTGATTTGACTTATGAAGAGTTGGTGAAATCATTTGGCTTAAACATAACGGCATAACTTTAGTATTTCACGGTGCCACGAAAAATCAATAGTGACGAACTTGATTTCGCACTGGTAGAAAGGAAAATAAGTATTATGTATATTGTAATCATAAACTAAAATCTCTATATTGCCTGTATGTATTAACTTTCCAATTTTTAATATCAAACACCTTCATAATTAACATCAAAATACGTGAACTATTTTACAGTTTACACTGATTTAAACTAATAATAATTCATCTCTTCTCTCTACACATCGTGCTAAGTAATGCACGAGAGAAGTTTACGTAGACAATGCATAAATGATTCACGTAGACCTAATCTTAAGATTTATGGCGCAATCTTGACACACAGGTGATCAACAGTTTCGGCAACCAGTTGATGGACATTCTCTGTCACAATTGCTCGGGCGGGCACGACGTGTGCAAGATGTTGGCGCTCTCTTGTCTGGACAAGATTCTGGAGTTGGATTGCGAAAACGCGTGGATGGTCTACCTGGCGAGCAGAGGCTACCTCAAGCACATGATCGACAGTCTGCTGGAGTCGGACAATCTGCTGCGATGCATACTGCAACCGGAGCCGCAAACGCTGCGGCCGCTCTACCTGTACGAGGCGAAAATGGCGATCTTCTGCCGCATGGCGTCCACGAGGCTGGGCGCCGAGAGCCTCCTGGAGAACAAGATTCTGTCCTGCATGTCGAGCATGTGCGTGTTCGACCAACACCCGGATGTTCACGTAGGTTTCGAGGGCGGCGATTACTCCTTCATACCGTCGGTCGGCCAGCGTTACCAGCAGATTTTTTTGCCGGCTCTCTACCTCTGCGACGCTCTCTTCACCACCCTGGGCACCGAGAATCAGTCGTGCGCCGTGCAAGTGTGCGGCTTCCTGCAGAGCCATCGGGACACCGTGGAGATGGCCTTGAGAAACGCCTCCTCGCACGCCAACGTGTTCTTCCTGAAAGAGATCGCATGCCTCACCGGCGTGATATCCAGATCCGCCAACATAGGTGCGTAAGACTGCTCGCATTAATGGAAGAAAAGCCTCGGTGAAACGGGGAAATTCAAGAGAACAGGGTCCTGATGCACGGATTCCACACTGCTGTATAAAATCAGAATTGATAATTTCGTGAGAGAAAGGAAAGATCTAGTCAATCATTATAAATAATAACTAAAGATTTCGGTGCTTCTCCGGATCCTCTTCGGTGGAAGTAAACGGTACAGCAAACTGAATAGGTTACATTGAAGAGTGAGTGAAAAAGGTCGACCCCTAAAGACAAAATTGTTCCCCAGACATGTACAGACTCGTGGATGAGGAGCTGGCGAAGGCGGATATAGACGACTACAAGCTGGAGAACAGCACCGGGATGAGGGAGTTGCGGGCGCATCTATACCGCTTACAGAAGCTGATGCTATCGTTGCTGTACAAATTTCAGCTGCAGTCAATCCCGGTGAATCACAACTACCAGCAAGCCGAGGCGAATCGGAAGTACATCTCCTGCATACAAATCATCGCCAACGTTATGCTGTACACGCGTAATCAGGTAACCTTCTGAAGTGCAATGTAAATACTGAGGGTATACATTGAGCGAACGAAAAAGCGAATGCAAGCTTTCATTGTCACAGTTCGAAAAATGTGCCATAACGAGTTCAGCTCACTTTTCCTCACTTATTTAGAAATATCTTTTCTTCACTTTAAAGAAAAAAAGTCACATCACTTTTTTCTTACTTGATTTGAGACCTTTCAGAAGAAAAAAACTCCATCACAAGAAATCATGTTCAATAACTGACTTCTTTAAAGACAAAAGATACAAAGAAAATAAAAAAGTAACGATGACGATATAATGTTCATAAAGTGAGCTGAATTGTGATTTCACTCTGAAGCTGTTTTTATCAGGTTTGTCAAGAAAACAAACAATGACTTTCAGATGCAGCACAGTTGTATGGATCAGAAAATACGGAACGTGCTATTCGATCCCCACCTGACGCCGAAGCTCGGAGGAAGGCAGGACAAGATGAAGGACGCCTCCGGCGGAATGCATCTCGGCACGATAGTCGAGCAGTTGGTTTCCGTGACGAATCTGTTGCATACCGAGTTATCGCATATCGATTCTCTGATAAAGAAAGCGCAGATGGTAGCCGACATGAGTACGGCGGAATTAAAGAAGGTTGGTATTGGCAAAACTTGGCGTTCTCGATTGTGTTGATCGATTTGTTTGCTCGCACGCGACTCCGAGATTTTCTTACTGAAATTCATTCATCGATCTTGCAGTACATGTCCGAGGAGGAGGTGGAACTCGACATAGGAAAGCAACGGATGCTCGTCGAGCAGCGGTTGAACCGTTGGGTCCGAGATAAGCGTCTGAGCATCAAGTATTGCTCTCTCATAATTGAACACACTTTGTATATCCTTTGGAGCCATTTAGATTTTTACACCATGCAAGTGATATCACGGCAAACTCAGAGGCTGCACGGTTAGTGAGATGTTTTTATTTTTACTCTTCTTATCGTTATTAAAGAACAAGTATAAATTTGCGTATAGCGCGTGCAATTATCGACTCTTTTCATGATCTTTGGCTGTCTTTGACCATCTTTCATCATGTTAACACTATTGTGACGATATGTGTTTGTTGTACAGTGTCGTCGAGTGGCGTGGACGACAGCATGGCGGAGTGGAAGGTCACGTCGGAGACGCTAATAGAACTCAAGCAGGGACTCGTATCTACGTTTACGGATACTTTTATCACACAGCTGTTAGATACACATAGTGAATATGCAACGGTAGACCGCAGCTTCATCGAGGCTCTTATAAGACGAATCAAAAGGCTGTTACAGTTTATAATTGTAAAATAATAAAAATATACATATGTTTTGTGTCGGCATATGTTTAGTTACAAATTTAAATACATATATATTTTTTTAATCTTATTTTGTATGCTCCGCTCGATATCAACCACTACTGTGTAACAAACGTGAACAGTATCGACTGTATTAGGTATGAAAGACAGAGGAAGAATCAATGACATTGTTGATGCTTTATTCGAAATTTCATATATATATATATATAGGCGATTCTATATAAATGAGTTTGAATGTCGATCGTTATTATTCCTTATCTTTCTTACATTTTATGCGAGATTTTTTTTTTACTTTCCACCGTGCAGAAAACTTGTATCGATGGAATTTGTACGAATATACCTCTCTTTCATGTGTTCTTCTCTAAAGACATATATATATATATATATATATATATAATGTTGATTATGTATAAACATTATATAACAATATATATATTTATACCAGCATCTACAACAGGCTCTTACCAACTCATTTTTACTGCCCTATTTCTGTCTCATGTATGAGACACAATAAAATATATTTTTGTAAAATATTAATATAAATCCTATAATTGTAACATGAATGATACATTTGTGCAGAAATATATGCGATAAATGAAATGTATTATTTATATAACATACATGTTTCATAAAGAATTTGAGTTTACATATTTATATTTTTCTGTAACTAATTACAAAAGCAAGGAGAAGAATACCAAACCATGATTTAGAGGAAACAATGAAAAGGTATAATGATTGATAGACTCGAAACGAACCATTTATAATTTAAATGAATCATTAAGAAGAAAAGGAATAATCGATACAATGAAATGTGAATATGGAGCAGAAGAGAAAGATATTGTTCACGTGATAAGAAATAAAAGGAAAAAAAAGAGAAGTATATTTAAGAAAACAGATAAAAAGAAAATTTGAATATAATGTGGTTGAGCTAATCAGAGAGGAAAACTGGGAAATGTTGTTTTATATACCAATTTCTTAAAGACATCAGAGGACAAATATAAAAGTAGTAGAGGAATGTATGGAAGAAAGAGAGAGAGAAAAAAATCGAAACTAAAGATAGGATAAGAAAAGGAAAGGAAATAAATAGCCGTTTCTATTCCACAGGAAAAATTAAAGACACAATGGTCGACAGGTCGTTAAAACAAAAAAAAAATAATTACAAAGAAATGGAATTGTACTCAACTCTCTCTACGAAGCAATTACTGCCTCGTCCCAAGGGCCATAAATATTATCCTTGTACTTTTGGCATCTGATATACCAAAGTGGGCATATGAAATGAATGAATATTACAGCAATAATAAAAACGCACGAAAATGTTTGCGATATAAATAACAGTAAATATATGGTATTGATTGCCAGAGTGGCTGATATAACGATTTTGTTACTCATTTGCGACAGCAAATACGGTAATAACACAAAGCACTGAACTGAGACTGTTAGAAGCGAAAATGCGTGTAATGGCGATGCTAATCTGGAAGCTAACATCAAGGAACCAAAAGTCGAGGAAGTTATAGATAAAGAATCGGACAGAGAGATCTGTGATGATCCATACTTGCTAAATATCAAGTGAGTCAAGAACATGAATATCGTCATGGCGTAAATTGTATCAGTACTGATCGTCTCAGTCAAGGTCTTTAAAATAGGCGACAATACATAACCGAATGTGAGAAATATCAGTACTGTCCGTAGATCCTTTGTCAGTTTCACAGATTGATCAGGCACTCTCTTCATATAAATAAAATATCCGAGAATCGTCAGGATGCTTCCTGATATCACGATAACATCTGGTGTGGTCCACTCATTATTCAGCCAAATAAATATCACAACAAAGAGTACCACGACGCTCAGTTGTATGGATATACTGGCGCCCAAGTTTATTGCTTCTGTCAACGTCACATTATTAGGTTTGATATTTTTGCGTAGTTGTTCCAGAAAAGAACTATCCGTGTAATTATCCGGCAAACCGTAATTCTCATACAGGTTTTTCTGCCACTGTACCTCTCCTTTCATATCGTATCAAAAATGCATTTGGCTTTGAATTCGTGTTTATTTGTATGCCAATACCGGACATATATGAATTGGCTTTTAAATGGAACTCTGCAATATCAGAATTTGTCATCTATACACTTGTAATAGTAATCAGATAGCGTAGATAATTCTGTTATCTCATGACTCGCAGTGGTTCTCTTTTCTTCTTTTTCTTGAAATTTTATGAGGAAAAGAGAACTAGTGCAGCGATAAAAAAAAAACAGGCCCAATAATTATAAAATATCCACCTACCACTTTATGTGATGTAATCAAATGATGATATTAACACTTTACACGCATAGAGAGCGCATTATTGATAAAATTGTTAATATATACATCATCATCATACAAACAAAAAACTTATTTCACGATTTAATTGTAACATAATGATATAGAGGGGTATATTTGATAACCTATCTATCAAAAACAGCTGATTGACAGCATTCTGCGAACGTCAACGAGCTTCTGTCGGAGATTCGTGATTTTTCCGGCCAACTTCACGCGATACTAGGGTTTTTCTTCTCTCTCTCCTTCCCAAATCGCAAAATATTCATCGCTAGGGAATTATCAGTTGCTACGTGACGAGGGTGTGCTAGGAAATTTGGCGGCCACTATGAGAGAGGGATCCGTCCGGCGCACTGGCGGTCTTGACAGGTTTTGCTGCTTTTAGTGGTATTATATTTTCAAAATGGCTGCTACGAGAAGATTGCAAAAGGTAATTCGGAATTTGCTGTCGCGGGGATGAAGCAACGACGGTGAGGCGAGATCGTCGCGCGACGGACGAGCCTTCCTCGCGACTGATCGTGCTTCACGGAGGATGGCGGTCGTGAGGAATCGCTCGTGTACAGTCACTCTCTTTCGTCAGTGACACCGGAGGAGCCCTCGATCGTCACTCGTAACCGATGCCGACAATCCCGTCGTTGTCCGATTTCCGAGGGCCGATTCGCATACTTCGCACGAGCGATCTCGTGGCTAGCGCGTCTTGAAATTCAGACCCGATCGTCACTCTCGCCACTTCTATCCCGTTACCACTGACCGTCGCCTTTCCGACTTTTCCAGGAGCTGGGCGACCTGAGAGCGTCGGCGATGAAAAACTTCACAAATATCCAAGTAGACGAGTCCAATATCCTCACCTGGCAGGGGCTGATATTGCCGGTACGTTTACGTCATCCGAAACCTCGAAGCTCGAGGACGTACGTAACCTAAAATACGCGCGCGGAAAGCGCAGAGTGCACATCCGTGAGAATCTTGTGTGACCTATTTCTGTCAGGTGTATCTTTTTTTTTCTCTCATTTTTCACGCTCGAAGTACAAGCGAGCGTGTCGTTTACGCTCTCAGAACTGAAAGAAAAGAGAAAAATGTGTGAGAGATTGTATAGAAAAGAAAAAAAAGAAAACATATAGTTGCTTCAGTGTACATACTCCATATCGCATTATCTCAAAATGAGTCTACAGTTTTCGAAATCTAATCTGTAGTCTGTATCGCTTGATCAGTAATTTCTTATATAACCGACTGGATCAGCTTTTAATTTCCTCGTGGAGATTATCTTGGAAGATACCTCATTCTCCGACTATTTCTTTTAAGCTTAACTTGTAGTTTTGTACGACTTCACTAGTATATAATGCATACACAGTTTACCATCTATGTACGGAGCATAAAAATAAGATATTTCTATAGGACAATCCACCATATAACAAAGGTGCATTTCGCATCGAAATCAACTTTCCCGCAGAATATCCTTTCAAACCGCCAAGGATAAACTTCAAAACCAAGATATATCATCCAAATGTAGATGAAAAGGGTCAGATATGCTTACCAATTATAAGTGCTGAAAATTGGAAGCCTGCGACGAAAACAGACCAAGGTCAGATTTTCTGCATTTTAATTGCTTGACCGCTAATAATAGTCACTCGTTGTAACTCGCGAATGAATCATATATGTAATTAAACATCTGTCTCTAACAAAAGACAAGGATGAGATAGACGTCATTCCTTTCCCTTTTTTTTTTTTTTTTTTTTTTTTTGNAAGAATGTCTCATTTGTATTTACAGTGATCCAAGCTTTGATAGCGTTAGTGAATGATCCCGAGCCTGAGCATCCACTGAGAGCAGATTTAGCCGAGGAGTTCCTTAAAGATAGAAAAAAGTTTCTGAAGAATGCTGAGGAGTTTACGAAAAAGCATGCCGAGAAGAGGCGGGAATCATCGTCGTCTAACGAATAACCCCGAGTGATTAGCTTTACTCACCACGATGCCTGCCGCCTATCAGCTGATTCAAACTCAAGCCAATGTATACCTGTCTGTTAATCCCTGTGAATCTCATAGATTCAATTGAATCTCATAGATTCAAGTTAAGATGACTCTGTACAGTATTGGTTAACACCGATGAATATGAAAATATACGCAAATTGTAATGTTTATAATAAGATGGAACGGACTTTCCAGAGTACAGTAAATTATGATAAATAACTGTATCATATTGTATACAATTTATACTTGAAGTCATATACTATGCAGTTATACTTTGGTTTAACGTGTCGAAGGTTCGTTACATTCCAGCTTGATCCTGTAGGAATGTACACGATGGTGAAAAAAAAAAAAAATGGATGGTTCAACATAGAGCCGTTACGTTTATCAGATGTAGCAGTATGTATTAAAGCAACATAATTTCCAATGTCGTTTAAGGTGTTAATTTATTGTCGCATTTCGAATTTATATAGCCACCGCTTTATAACTGTTAATAATCTTAAGATTACAATTATCAAATAAACGACGAACAATGTTTGCTCTCGATTTCCAATCGATTTTTTGGAACAATAATAATATAATTAAACTTCCAATCGTGACACGAGATTATTATTCTCCAATCTTTTACGTAGTATGTGCAACATTACATGAAGCTCCAAATATACGATACAATCGTTTCCCAACCGATTGACTTGAGAACATCGATGAGGGTTTATTTTTTTTTTATTTTTGACTTTGAATGTGATTGCATTAACGACATTAGACATTCTTTACACAAAATCTCGCACATATACCCGATTATATCCTGTATAGAATTATCTTACGTTGCTTTAATATGAAATTTGTCTGGTATACTAAGTTTAAGTGTAAATCGTATTCTGGCGTTTGCGGCAACTACCAAAAATAAGAAATGCGCATTTTGTTTATTTGCATAAGCAAAAATTAAAAGGTCCAACGTGAATTTCATGTTGAAAATACGAATTTCCGTTTAAATATCGTCATTTGAAACATCAATGAAAGGAGTAAGAAATAGGTCTATAAATATAATCGAAAGCATCGAAATGGGGTCTCTAGTCACTTTTGTCCGTATTCTGAACTCTTTTTTTTTTATCGTTAAAAATACCTCATATATGGTTTCTCACCCAATCAGGTAGTTCCAAACCACTTTTACAGTCACTTTCATCAATAAAAAAAGAGGGTTCAGAATACGGGCCTTTATCTTTCTGTCTAATTGCTACAGCTTCCAGTTTCTACCATGATTTGAAAGATTAACGATCTGTGAAAATCATATTAATCTTTTTTTTTTATATAAGAATCCGGGTAGACAAGATAACTTATCTGTATGTATTATCAAATATAGCTTGATAACATAGAAGAAAGTTGTGAATTGTGGGAATGTGAAATGTTTTTTTACACACGTGTACACACGCTGTTTGTTTCGTACCTGTACAGGATTAGAAAGACCTCGGAAATAGTTAACCACTGATGCAAACATCGTATAAATTTTATTTCATTTTGCTTATCCGATGTTTGTGCGAAAATAATTTTAATAAATTTTGTAATTATACAATAGAAGTGTATATTATTTGCACTCTTCTTAATCGCTGAAATGCAATGTTTTCAGCAATCTGTAATGACATACATCTTGAGAAATGGATAAAGATGTTAACACACAAAGCTATAGATTTCTTCTATATTTGTTCTTTACTGTCACACATAGGAAGAAAATTATTCATAAAATGTTAACAGAAAATTAAAAACATCTTGCAAATGAAGAAAATTTGTTTTTATCGAACGTAATAAAGATATGTTTAACATGTAGTATTTGAATATCACTTTCTAATTTTGGTTACAATTGTGACACAACATAAACTACATAAATTATTTTCATAACAAATAATTTCTACCCAATACTATATATATATCTCGATTACAAATTCCTTAAGACAATAAAATTTATCATAACATTGTAATCATTACGGTTATTATGCGGCGCATCTTAAAAGCAGTAGGAATATTAATTGGACATTCGTTCATTCATACTTTAATGTGTGAAATAATTATATAAATATTGTGCATATAAGAATTGTATTCTTACCTCAGCCAATAGGCTTGTATTCCTATTATGATGAACCTTGAGGAGTTATGTCAGCATTTATTCTTAGAATTATGAACAATCGCATAATCTACTTATACCGTATATAGGAAAATTGTTTGGCTGTATATATAAATATATACATATATATGTAGGTTGTCTCGATATAGTATATAAAAACTTTCACAAAGATGGTAATCTGAGGGTAAAATGTATATTTTCTATCTGCTTGGTGTATTAGACTTGTATAGAGAATAAATGTATTGGGTGAATATTTCAGAAATAAAATAAGATGCTGTGTTATAGGATTTGATTTTTATTTAGTTTCTCGTGTAAGAAAGGATAAAACCTTCGTTTAAATATTAAAACTTCTATATTAATAAATAAAGAGATTATAAATGAAAATAAAAATACGACGTCGCTCGTTTCGCTTTTCTTGCTCTACGCAACGTGAGCCCGCATAATACGTGTTCAAATTGAACTTCAGCACTTTATTAAGTTCTCCGTTCTTTATTTAAGCTCATACGCATATTTTATCCCGTTAACAAATTCTGCATCTCTTACAGATTCGTAGATCCCCACTTTTGGTATACTATAATAAATATTCCATGTTTTTCCAAGTCAACGATCGATTATTAAGCCGTATGAAAACAATAATTGAAAAGCTGGGTGGAAGAGGTGGAAGCTATTGAGTGTTCATCACAGCACATGAGAAAGAGAGCGAGAAAGATATGTAATAGCATCTGTGATATATTTTTAATTATTATAAACGATCGAAACAGATTTGAAATAAATACAATATACAGAGCAAGCATATCCTAACGAACTAATACACATATATATATATACGCTCAAAATAATAGAGCTATTTAAGATAAAATTGAAAGTCTGCTTTTTACGTTTCATTGGGAAGTAAATATAAATTTAGGGGTATATAGAGAGTGTGAAGTCGTTGAAAATAATCTCGATATGTTGGAAATGAGACAAGTATATTCTTAGTAATACATTCACATCGCTTATTTACATGTATAATCGGTAGACATCAACGTAAATAAAACTATATGTAAATACCATTTCTTTCCTAATTTCACGATATATTCGGATAGTATTTATGTTACCGTAGACAATCACAGTCTTATAAGTGTAAAAAAGTTCCTAATTGCGGTATTATCAATGCGGATCTCATCGAGTTCTTCAGTAACTTAACGATATTTTGCATCGTTAGAAACGCATGTTAACTAAGGTCTATCTAATTTAGAATACATATTTATTATATTGAGTGCTCATATTGTTATTTTCTATTGCAATTAAACAAATGCGAATGTTCGAAACGTGGGAAAAGTGTGGGGGGGGGGGAGGGGGGAGCAGAACGACTATCCAATATTCAGAAAGAAAGAGATATGCGCGTCCCCAAATATAAATCTAAGTGCGTATCATCATTATCTGCGCGACGCATCTACCGACCTTTTCCACCAAACTAATCAATTATCAGAATAATATCTTACTACTCATTCCAATCACAGGGATGTTCCGTCACAACAAGTACGGCGGAGTGTGTTTCGCTCGTACTATGTTACAATTTAGTGTGCACGAATAAAATACGGAATATAATAAGATAAATTTTAATTTCGGATGATCAAATTTACTTGCGACCATGCAAAATAATGCATACGTTGTAATCAAGCACCTTTCTCACAGATTTCAGCGTTCGATAACAAAATGACGCGCCCTTTTCTTTCCAGCCTTTAATCTTTGTGTTTATTGAGTGTGTGTGTTTGTGTATGTTTATTGTATGACAGTTACGGCAAAATAAAGATTAAACTATATTCGTGATATCGTTGACGCTCTATCATTTTCAATTACTTTTCCAATCGTATATTCCTGCAAAGAACATTACGGGTTATGAATTTGGGCTGCAAAGGTCGATGGTTATCATATATCGGAACGTTCTCCGGAAATATTGTTTCCTCGTTGGTATGGAACATCCCTTGCACATAATCTCATTCACAAACAGGAAGTGAAATAATAACGAAGATAACAATAGCGACAATAGAAAATAATGAATGTTGTAATGGAAATACAATAACGATGACGCGAATCGGTGAATAAAATATGAAGAATCATTATATGAGATATATCAGAGGATGTATATATTATTACAAATTACTTACATGTTTGTACACATCCAATATTTGAATTCAGCATTAAGCAACGTACGTATACACCTTTCTGCAAATCAAAGTAAATTATCGGTCAGCAGTTCTCGGATCTCGCATTAACGAGGATTCGCCCAAGGATTTGCGTTTTACTTACCGATCTTCCGGTGTTCGAGCCAAATACTCTCGTTCAATTAAACCTTCGATACGTTTCTTAATTATTACAGGCGAAGGCAAAAATCGACCTCTTAGTTGCTCTGTTACTTCTGTCACAAGTATGTTGTGCTGTAAAAGGAAAAAAAAAATTAATTGGTATTGATTGATAATTACACATATCTCTATTACACACGTTTTTTCACATTTGCAAGACAATATTTCTTTAAGGTATCGGAGTGGTCAGCCAAAAAATCCGCGTTAACAATGACGACGACACAGTTTAGATATAAATTAGAAAATTTATTTTACAGAAAAAAATTGAAGCTTTCGTGTTACATACAGGCATGCGCTTTCGGGCTTTCATAATCCGTACAATGGCTGCTTCTATTTCGTGTTTCCTGTCTTCGTCGACTTTATTGCGCGTCTCTCTTCTCTCAGGCTCAGATTCTCCTTTCGCTGCTACAGTCTGGATCTTCACTCTGGAGAGAGAAAAGGATACAAATATATTTATGATACAAGATTCTTATTGGTTGCGCGTCAATTGTCACGTGAACGCAATACCTGTGTAATTTACTGCTAAAACTGTCGTTCACGCAGAAATAATGCGAGGACTCGATCTCCTTGGTACGAGGGTGTTTGAGTAAGATTCTTTGCGTAGCTTTACCCATGGCGAGAGACTGCAATGCTCTGACCAAGTCCCTCTCTGGAATATCGGTTTCACCTTGAATTTCCTACACAATATTCATACATATGTATATATGCGACAATAATGTGACATTTTTAGAATTTTCTCCATATATGTGTACATGTATATAAATAAATATATGTAGTGGCATACACGCGTGCGGCATACGCGCGTGTGATTCAAATCGGTCGTTTATTAAGAATTTATATCAAGACTGACCTCATATGTTAGCCTCTCTCTCTTGTTGAAGAGCATTAACACGCACATTTGGAAGGTGGAAACTTGAATTATGTGTTTTCGTGGACTACACGTACTGCTTCTCTGACTCAGCAAGCTGCCACTCGCGTTGCTACCATTTCCGAGGGAACTTGAAGACGACGGAGTATCCAAACCACCGCAAGTGCTCTCTTCTCTGCGTGGTCCATAAAATATCGCATTCAAGTCTGCGGAACCTACGCAAAACGTCCGTTTTATTGCACACGCATGTCGAACGCGGTGTGCTCGAATAAACGGATATTAATTGACAGAATGTGAGGGGAAAGAATGTATTAATTTACCTAATTGTGGTTGTAACGTTAATTGCCGACCGCTATGCTTAGCAAGATAGAAGCGCCGAAAGGCATCGAAGGCATCACGTGGTGCGGTGGGTATGCTAGTTTTCGGCGTGGCCGATTGCGTCGGCCAGAAGCCAGTTGTGAGTACGCGTACGCTTATTTCCACACCGTGTAGATTCGTCTGTGTGGGACAAGGAATGAAAGGATGATACAATAAGAAATGTAAATTAGTTCATTTTACAGAATCTCTTTTTTCTTTTATACACATTGTTTTGATACAAATCGCGTAATTTGTGCGAACAAATTGTTTAGAAAACAATTGAGGCCAATTTCAATATCTTATTGAATATAATGTTAAATAATTCCTCATAATCGTTCTCACAGAAATATTTCAAGTATATACGCACAATCTTTCATCGGTTGTTAGTTTTTAAATTAATATCTGATTTATATTAAAACTTACGCCAGACGTAAGAACATGATCCTTGAATTCATCCATGATAGTGTTGCTGACTGTAATATCCTTGAACATGCCTTCCAACTTTGACGTGAACTGACATCCGCATTCAGTCTAAATGAACAAGAATATTAGAAATGCGTATTATTAATTGTATGTAAAGTTATAAATTATATAACGATGTATAACACAGTTTTTTTTCTATATCTTTGATAGGAAACATACAGGAAGAGAATACGTATTAATAATAATTCCCAAAATGATTTAGAAAGATTAGCAAGGAAAAAGTGATTTTCTTTTATCTCTGTGGAGATAATGAATAACATTATCTTATAGATTAGACGATATAATTAGTAGAATATGCACTTACTTTAACACATGAGCAGTTTGGAAACCGGATTTAGAATATGTATAAATTGTTATTGATTAAGAATATTGTTAATTTTCACACTACGAAATATTCAATGTCCGAGCAATCTTTCGGTTACTCAGCATACAAATTTTTCTTATTGATCGTTATGCCCAGATCAGCGTTGAACACTCCATGTATCTGGAGTAAAACTACTTGCTTCAGAACTTATTGTGTATCTATACGCAATGGCTACTGGAAATGTAACTATTGCGAGACCGACTCTTATTACTTTAAAATGTAAGCAATGCCGATTCTGTGATACAAACTGAACGTTCCCGAAATCAAAAGATTCGAATACTTCTTCTTACCTTAAGTTTGGATATCATATTCTTTTCACTGTCATCTGAAACAGACTTGTTCAACAATAACCGCTTGGCTAAGTGTTGCTTATAGTACCGTTCAAATACATCTTTCTCTTGTAAAAAGCGGAATAAGACCATAGTTTTATCTAGAATCCCTTCTATCTCCTGTTCTGTCATCTAAAAGCGAACAGATTTGTGTAGAGATTTGTGCAATACGACGCTCATAATTGGGCGATCCGTAGCGTATTCGATGCTACTCACTCCTTTGACGCCCTTCTTCAGCTTGTCATCGATAAAGAGTGAAAGGTACTCCGGGCTTTTAGGGTTTAAGTTAAGGAAGTATTCGAAGTCTGACGCTATCATCTGTTTGTAATTTTTATCATTATTGAAAGAATAATGTAGAAAATGATCGAAGCGATCCTTTAAGTCTAACAAGTTCTGGACATAAGAAACGGCGTTTGTTGATTCGTGCTCTTCCTGCACCAAGGCGCGACCTTGTTCCTTGAGAAACTGAGATACACAATCGCATACGGTACGTAATCCGTCCGACACTCTCGCAAATAGTTTATACATACAACCGAGGTCCTCAGTTTTCTGATTTTTGAGCATATGCACTACACCACTGTTTTCCATCTGTTACAAAAGTGAACAAAAGTGAATTAATAGTTCATAACATGTATAATATGTGATATATGGGCGCGATGACATAATTATATACTGTAAACTAAATAAATCAGAGGGTGATTGAAGGGTAAAGAAGTGATAATAACAATAATACTGAATAACAATAACATTAAAGCACCTCAACAATGGTTTTCATGTGTATTTTGATTAATTCTTCTTCTACGACTTCCACTATTCGTGGCTCAGTGGATTCATCTAAATAGTGTTTCGCTCTTTCGGATTCTTCGCAGATTCTAGCTTCGACCTTTTTTATGTATACCGACGCGCTATTTTCTGCCAGAAATTTTTGAGATTCCATCTGAAAATGGAAAACCATGTTGCAAGCGTGTGTGACACATGTATTTAGAAATTGATCAATCAGTCGTCTGCAGTAAACTAAGAACTCACTCTATAAAATTCAGCACTTTGTTGTAAAAAAGGCCTTTCAAAATCTTCTTCGTAAACTTGACGACTGTTAATTCCAAGTAACATCAACATTTGGCAGGCATTTTTTATAGCGCTACGATCTACAACTTCTCCTTTTCTTTCCCTTGCGACCATACCTAATAACGTTTCTCGTAAATGATCTCTCACACATCCATATCTGACCACCTGAAATGAACGAGAAATTGATTAATATCAAATACATCAGACTTATATACACACGTGAAACAACTTCGTTTTCATAAATATATAAAATCATTCGACGAAATGTAAGTTATATTGCAGCAGATTTGAATTGCTTCTATATTTGTCTTTATAACTTGACTTAATATAAGAAGTTAAAGAATCATAAAGAGAATTTGATAGTTACCTGATCTCGAAAAATAATTAGTCCAAGGTTATACACGTTATCAACATCATTCTGTTGAACATACACTCTGTCCATGTACATTAATATGTCCCTGATCATCACCATTGATGTCTGATGATCGTTCCACGCGAGATTTAACGTTTGTAGAAAGTTATTATGTAGGGACCGAAGAACATCTTCTCGCACTTTGTTCTCAAGATGATGTGTCACGACTTCCTTTAATCCTGTGTACAAACGTTCACCGTACTTGTGAAGAACCATTGTATATGCATTGCGATAAAGTTCTTCAAAACTGAGGCCAGAATTGTTTTTCTTCTGTATCTCCTGGATAGCACTTTTCAGTAAGGTCCAAATACTCTCGACATACTTCTCATCCATAGTTGTCTGTAAAAGTGGAATCTTTTATGGTAGTTCATTAGTTAATATTAAGCAAAATATAATAGTTGATATGAAGTAAGATTTATATATATATATATTTCCTAAAAATTCTTTTACAAGGACACATTTCATAGAAATATCTTGAAGCATTAAATTTAAATTATAAAATTGATTTCATATCTCTTAATTGTAACCATAAAAAATACTTTAAAAATTATATTATAATACAATATAACAGATATAAAAGATAATAATTCTCACAAGAGTATCATGAATTATAATAGGATATAAATTGCTTTTCTGTATCAATCCTGACGTAGGAATTATTTCATCCATTCTGCTTCTTTGCTGGTCTTCACTTAGGTATTGCGTCATGTAATACTAATTCTTTTTTATATAGATTTTTTTCTTGTGTGTTTTGCTTTTTATTCAATCATAACTTTGATTATGACAACACACATTTCTAAATAAGAGTTTCATTTTATCAAACTCTTAATCTCTGTGCACCATCGAAATTAAATAAGGAACAATTAAATTGAATTCTTGAAGACTTGTTTTCGATAGATTTGAAATGTAGAACATGAACTTATACAGCATATATTTTATGTAATAAATTTTATAGAGATCTATCTACACATGCGAAATGTTATACAAACATGGATTCATGTCAATAGCATTTTGCGCATGTGCATTGTTTAGTTATCATTAACTTTATTTTACCTTGCTGCAGTGTTTGGTAATAAAAAGATATTTTTAGCATTGAGAATTTGTAGCAAACAGCAAAATATAGTAATATTTAAAAATTTTGCATATAGCATGACATGGTTACATAGCCGCACTTTATTACAACTGTCTTTTGCATTGCTATGGTAACTATTAGGTATTGTTGATCTTATCGATTCATATACAAGTTTATATAAACGATAGTGAAGATATTATTATATACAAAATTCTTATATGAGGAAAAAAAGCGAAATTACAGCGTTAAGAGAGACTATTTGTCCCCAATGTGTGCGATGAGGGAAAATTCTCAAAACCCCATCCAATTGTATTTGAAAATGATTGACCTTACAAATTGCTCAAAAAAATCCAACATCGTATAACCTTACTCTTTCTATCAATTTCACATCATTCAAACTTTCGCAAAGACGAGAGAGATTGCCCTTGGCAATTATACATTTGGAATAAAATAAAGTAAAATAAAAATCACGTAAAAATTGCCAAAAAATCGCGCTGAGTAAACGCCAATAAGCGAGCGCGAGGAGCACAAACAGCAAGTAATCGCAGAGGCATTTGGCAATATTCGGTAGTTTTTCATTCAAACAGAATTGCCTTGTGCGAGAGCGGGCATCGAACCGTTAACGGTCCGAGCCACTAATTTGATACTCGGCTGGTAATACAATCGAGCGCATCGTCGACCTGATTGCACCATTTGTCCGTCGGTCTGGGCTATTTTTCAAGCGCAAAGATAACGCAAGGTAGAGTGGGTAGGTTATGGGATTATGTTTATACGAGCCGACGGACATATACAAGCACCACCACATCGTGGCCCCGCGCGCGCACACAGCAAAGACGCAGAATGGATAAATATGATCAGGAACACACACATATATACAATCAGTCAGACCACACACACACGGGCGCACGACGAACACGGCAGAGAGAACAGACGGAGAGGACAGGGCATATCACGATATGCCTGCTCTACCTGCCTCGAGCCGCTCTTTATCGCATCAGACCTCGTGTCGTACTCACCGGAAAAGCACGTATGCGCATCTTGCTCTCCTTCTTCATCAGAGCACTGCTCTTCATCGTGCCGAATTTTTTCCGGTATCGAGTAAAGGTGTCTTCAGAAATGCCGTCGTCCCGACGATGCTGCTGCCGATGCTGTTGTGATAAGCGTGCGGCGCCGCGTGCACATTGACACCGGGACACTTATTCTTTTTATTTATCTTTCTTCCTTCTTTCCCTAAGCCCAGCAAGCACTACTCATTTACGTATCGGGAACGGCCGACGATCGAGACCTTATATGCGGAGGGAAGAAGAGGGAGGGGAAGGGGCGAGTACTGGCGTGCTCTCGACAACGTGGAGAGGACCGAAGACGACGTGAACGACGGGTGGTTTCCTCCACGCGACAGCGTACATTTAATGACGCGTGCGAGACAGCGTCTCTCTTCCTCCCGGTACCTCTGTCTATCCGCTCTTTCTCGTTACCCCCTCTCTCTCTCTCTCTCTCACTCTCTCAGGGGAGGGAGTAGCACCCTTTTCTCCCGACCCGGCGGGCGAAGCGCGTTGCTGAAAGGAGACAAGGATATATGTGCTTCGGAGGATTAAAGGGTGAGAGGAAGAGCGCTGACAACGCAACTACAATGGACGAGAGAGAGGGAGGGAGACGACGAACGAGGGAGAGAAAGATGGATTGACGGGCAGAGAGACGGTTCGACTTGAACGGACTAACGAATCCTCGCACGTCCGAGGGAAACTATCGCGATAATCCCTGTCGACAATCCAAGCACACAGATTTTCTCTCTACTTCTCTCTCTCTCTCTCTTCCTAAGTATGAGTACGTGTGTGTCCTTTTTGTTCCTCTCGTGCCGCGAATCCCGACGCGGCGCTCTCTTTGCTAGTATTGGTGATGGTGGTTGCTCGGTCGCGAATTCAATGAAGAAGCGGCGCGCGCGACCGCCCCCGTAACATAATTGAGTATCCGATGCACACCACAGCGTTCTTACGGGGTTGTTCTCGTTGCGCCAACACTGACACCAACTCCGCCACCGCCGTCGCCACCGACAGCACGAAGTAGCCTAGTACTGCCCTATCGCACTATTCGCGAGAGAACGATGCGCACAGGATCACGACCACCAACACACTATGGCCACGGGATTATGCTAGATTGCCATCGGGACGAGGCGCGATCGGCCAGCAAATCGGCAACTATGTACGCCTTTGAGTCGAGTGACTCCATCTGTTCGATTTGTGTCGCAGCCATTTCAGTGGCTACGTGCCATCTCGAAATGATATGCGGCCAATGAAACGGCTCCGTTAAGGTTTCGTTCAGGAAGAATTCACACCTCGACGGAAAAGCAGCAGCCAATCAGAACTCGCGCTGGTAGCCGACAGTTTCTGCTTTATCTACTGATTACTACCACCATAAATTCTGATTGGTTGTTACTTTTCTGCTTTTTTGTCTAGATATAGTAAATTCCCTCTCAGATTATGGATTAAAGCCGGTATTCAAAATCGGATCTTATATTTATGATTATTATACTTAAGTTCATCTTTAGATGTTTCGTAGCCAATTAGAGGAACCGTACAACATCTGAAGGTAAGTTTGAGGCGACCTTAAATTTAAAATCTGACTATGAATACCGGTCATAGTCGAATTTTATATTTAAGTTTATTTTCGGATGTTTTACAGCTTATTTCATTGGTTACGAAGCATTTGAAGATAAAGACGGTCTTAAATATTAGAAAGTTGCATTGTTTACGTCTAGATGGCTCTAGCTGCGTATGCTTTGGGCAGAGACACGCGTTACTTATGTCATTTTGAAGTGTGAACATTTCCCACTAAAATTCAGCCAACAGACGCCATCCTTTGTTTGTACATCTGCTTTTCTATAACCAAATTAAAATGAAACGCGATAAGACGTTTTTCCAATGTCTAACTTTACACTATTTTGATTTGAAAAATAGTGCAACTGAAACTCATCGATTGTTTGAACTTATGGTGAATCTGCTTCATCGGAAGTAGAATGCCGATTTTGGTTCCAACAATTCAAAAGTGATGATTGTGACGTTTACGACAATCAACGACTAGATCGATTGAGAAAGTTCGAAGATGAACAACTGCAACTTCTATGGGAAAAATACCCTCCTCCAACACCCAATGAATCGGCTCACCAGTTCAAAGTCGATAAATCAACCACTTCCACTTCACAACATTCGCAAGCCATGGGAAAGATCCAGGAAAAAAGAAAACTGCAGCCATATGAATTGACCTCTATTGTCAATCGTTTAAACATCTCGGTTGCTTTGCTCGCAAGGAAAAACAAGGAGATATTCTTGTGGCGTGTCGTGGCCGGAAATGAAAAATAGATTCATCTCGACAATCCAAAAGGCAAAACAATGCTCTCTATTTAGTGGGATAGAGAGGGCATCGTACATTATGAGCTGTTGAAACCGGACAAAATAGTCACCGACGTATATTACGGACAACAATTTGAGCGTTTGAAGGATAATTTGATGCAATACCGACCATCACTTGCATCAGATGAGCGAAAAGTGATTCTTCTTCATAACAACACTTAATTCCACGTAGCTGTGGAACAAATACTGATGGAGCTCGAATGGGAGGTTTTCCCGTATCCAATGGATTCTACGTTGTCTGCCAAGTCTACGGACGTGGCCAGCGGTTAGCCATCGTTGCAAGACACTCTGGAAAAAATATCCTTCCGTAATTACAAAGAAGTCGGAAAGTGGGTTCCTGAATGGATTGGCTCAAAAGACAAATCCGTTCTTTTACCACAGAAGACTATTTCGGCCAAAGTGGAAAAAAGTTACAGCTTCTGAGGGCAAATACTTTGATTGATGTATTCACATATTTGATTATTGAAATAAATGCTAAAAAAAAATAGCTGTTTTCAATGCAACCTTCTAATATAAAATCAGACTATGAATGCCGGTGTAAGGAGTTGTGGTACTGAATGTACGCGATAGATTTAAAATTTACTATACATAGGGTTTTATGGGCGCTAATTTTCATCTGCAAGTGTCGCATCTACATATTTGTGCAGATTATTTTTGACTTGACCTCAAGGAAGCAACAGGTTACTTTCTTACATGTAATTTGATGCTGTCTATGTTACAAACGTCACTTTTTCTGAACAATATCCAAGGTATGTTAAATCCATACGATTTATATTTTTTCTTAAAATAATATTCTCTGAACTCTATTGCATACATATTTTCCTACACTCACAAAAGCGTATTAGAAACCACACGCCTTCAAATCACGCAAGAAAAATCGGGTTTCTTTGTGAAATGTGATCAGTAGGCCTTCTTATTGCTTATAAATATATAAAAAGACGCCACGAAATTATCATTACTGTCATTAACAGTATTAATATAACATCAGTACTATTAACTGCATAATGTTGACAGTATCAACTATATATCAGTGTACTTGAATGACATGTAACATCAATGTACGAACTAAACTGATGCAATACTCTATAATGACAAGTATCTGCACACACATGTTGTTACATCACAGAGCCTCTTTAGCCTATCAACGATGATCTCGTTATTGTAAAACTGAAGTAAATTCGTGATGAGTTCGGGTAATCAGCTCTCAAGTATACTTAAATTAGGTACGGTCGTGTAGGCTATCGCTGCGAGGCCAATGATAATGGTTAGAATCCACGCGATTTTACGCTTGTACACCGTGCTTTCCTGGGACTGCTTCGAGTTGTCGTATTTGTCCTTCCTCTTCCGTCGCGGCTTAAACTTCTTCTCGAATTTCTCGATCTCCTCCCGATTGCGCAGTTCCTCCGCCTCTCGTTTCTTCGCGATCATCGCCTCCTGCGCTTGGTTCTTCTCGTTCTTCAACGACTCGCACACACCATCGCACTCAACGGCGATCCGCTTCTTCTGAATAAGCGAGCAGAGGAAGTCTTTCTTGATCCGCTTGCATCTGCACCACAATCGGACTTTCTTACCGCACTCCTCCCCACCCCTGCACGCTCCCGGATGGCAGTCGTTGACGCAACGATGCCCGCACGGATACTGAAAATAAGGAAGCAAGTTGTACTTTTCACTAGGAAGAAACGATTTCTCGCATCGACAATTGACAAGCATAGTTACGTTTTTCGGGCACTGGTTGCCGCATCGCAGTAACTCGTCGCGTTTCTCGCCGGACGTCAGGTCGACGCAATGCCTATAAAGGGTGCTGATACCGCAGTGGCAGGGGAGCCGCACCAGTTGCTTGCACGGTTCGCACGGCGCCGGGTGGCAAGGTTGCGGGCACGCGTGCGCGCAGCCTTCCGGCCGCGGGAAGAGGCACTCGTTCTCGCACTCCATGCACGGAACTGCGGCGATGGCCCCCACTTGATGGCACGTCAATTCGCAGGTGTGGTTCCCGCACGGCAGTGCTCGGCCACAGACCCTGCCGCAGGAAGTCGGCCTCGACGCGTGGCAGGGCCAAGGGCGAGTCTCGTGCTCGCCCAGGCAGGTCACAGGCACGGAGACCTCGCAGGGCGGGCACGGCAAGGTCTTCAGCCGCATAACGTCCTCCCGCTGCCTCTCCCAGGGCCCGCTGGCTTTCACTCCGTTCGTCTTCACCCAGACTTTGGTGTGGCAGGTGGCCGGGCAATGGTGGCCGCATCTCTTGTGCGCCAGGCCGCAGACCTTCCCGCACGGCGGACACGGGCCCTGGTGACACTTGTGCGTCTCTCGCTTGCTGTGGTGGCAGATCGGCGGTATCCTGCAAGACCTGTTGCACGCTGGCGGCCGGATCCTCTTCCTGGTGCCGCACGGCACGGTGATCTTGCTGCCGCCGCATCTGCACTGCACCGCGTCCGTTCTGTTGCACGGGTAGCAGGGCCCGCTGTGGCAAGGCGCGGCGCACCTGTGCTTGCGGCAGTTCAGCGGCTCGCCGCACGTCTTCTCGCAGGGATTCGACGCGTTCTTCGAGACGCAGTCGCAGCACTTCCTGTTGCACAGGTGTCGGCCGCACAGCCGCATCTGGCCGCACTTCTTGTTGCAGTGGAACTCCTTCACGCAGGCGATCTCCTTTGTGTAGCTGCCGCACCGACACGCCTTCGTCACCACCTGATTACGACAAATACGGTATATCACTTTCTGAAACGTGTCTTTTAAGAAAAATTGTATACATGTGGAAAAACAACGTGGCATAAACTGCAATGTATGGAATTCATTCTTAGACCACCTTGCTCATTGATTATGCCATTGATTCGTAATATAAAATTTTAGAACTTCAAGATGCACAAATTCAAGAAGCACAAAACAGTCTATTGAGAAACACTTGGAAGCAAACGCATCATTAAGTTTCTCCAGTGAAGAAGAGGATGAAACAAACGAGGAAGAATGCGGTGAATAAAGTATTGTCTGGCTATCAAGGACAAGGGATAGAAAAAGTGATATCGTATCTGATTAATTCCTTAGTCACCTCCAGGCACTGGCCGCACCGGTCTGTGTGGCATCTCATGTTGCAGCGGTGCGAGCCGCAGTCCAGCAACTTGCCGCAGGTGTCCCCGCACGTCGGCACTTGCTGCTGCTTGCAGGAGACGTCGTATCGTTTCTTCCCGCACGGGCAGCACCTGTTTTTCTCCATGGGACAGTTGCCGCAATCGCCCGGCAGATGACAAGTACTCTCGCAGGTGTGCACGTTGCAGGTGAACTTCCTACCGCACGGCTTCTCACAGATCCACATACCCTCGTGGCATCTGCCCTCCTTCTGGCTGCTCCCGCAACGGCATCTCAACGACACCGTTTCCACGCACGGTGGACACTCCCCGGTGTGGCACGAGCTGCCGCAACTGTGCGAGCACGACTCGTACTTCTTGTCGCACGTGTTTCCGCAGCACCAGTTCTTCGCGTTGCAGCGGCGCGGCTGCGCCGGCAGCTTGCCGCAGTAACACTTCACCAGCACCATCTTGGCGCACGGCGGACACGGCCCAGGGTGGCAGAGCAATACACACTTATGGCCGCATTCCGGCTGTAGGAGTTTGCCGCAGGTCTCGCCGCACGAGTGCGGGATCAGCCATGGTTGGTACACAGGATCCTTAATCTTCCTGCAGAAACATTCGTACGATCTTGGGATCTGATCCTGTCCGTACTCCATGCGACACTTAGGGCTGTAATGTGTATGCAGTTTCGTCAGTTAAGGAGAAATTTGAATGCAGTTTGCGTGGAATTTTAGATTAAAGTAATTTTCAAGATACATGCCATGCCCAGATCGGGGTGATCCCTTTGGCCCGCTTATAACTCAAACTGTCGTTTATCCAGTGCAAGATGCAGGACAAATGGAGAAACGCGTAACATTTTCTGCAGTTCCATATCTAAACAATGGGTATGCATGGAAGAGTAATAAGTAACATCATTAAATAGTTATCATTAACATCGTTAAAATTTCTTGCATATTTAACAAATTGATAAAGAAAGTATGTTGCATTTATAGCAGAGCAAAGAGATTTTATATGTATACATGTCTACGTATAAGTAAATTGTATCTGACAATATAGTTAACACACTTATATGAGACAAATATTAACGATATATTATGCTGTGCAAACTTACCGGATCTATTTTCTTGACAGTTGATATACATATTAAGCAAACTGCACTGCTGGATTGAAAGGAATTAACCAGATACGATATCACTTTCTCCGCATCTATCCCTTGTCCTTGATAGGCAGACAATATTTTGTCCACTGCATTTTGGACATCTTCCTCATTGGTTTCATCCTCCTCTTCACTAGAGGAATTTAATGATGCGTTTGCTTCCAAGTGTTTCTCAATAGACAGTTTGTTTTGCGCTTGAGCCTTCTTGAATTTATGCATCTTGAAGTTCTACAATTTTATGTTATGAATCAATGACATAATCAATGACCAAGGTGGTCTAAGAATGAATTCCATACATGTGCAGTTTATGTTACAATAGGATTAATAAGACATTAAAGTAGTTTCTTTGTTTTTTCACATGTATACGGTTTTTATTAAAATACGTGTTATATGTTTCAGAAAGTTATATATCGTATTTGTTGTCAGTAATAATTGGATTGATGCCAGCTTGTTTGAAAAATTAGCATTTGATGAATAGTGAATGATTATCAAACAATTACCACACATATACTGTTTTGGTCTATGGTCAACGGTTTTTTTCCGCCGGCTTTACATCGGTAAAATGTTACTTACTACATGTATAATCACACAATAAAACTACTCTCAAGAGTTTTTATCACTGTATGTGGTTTTACCACGTATACACGAACAATCTGTTTGATAAAAGCGGTTCGTTGAAACTTTTATCTGTAAACCGTTAAGTCCGTAACGGAGTATGGAGTAGGATTGTGATTGGATAGAAATTTGACCAATCAGAACAAAACTCACTAAATTCAAGTTTAGTGAACTTTACTCTGATTGGTCAAATTTCAATCCAACCTTGATTCTAACCCCTAACGTAATTACGCCTTTAGACAGGAATCCCAACGGTAGCCAATAAGAAGAGCTTTCCCCCCAAGATGCTTTGTAAAAAAAGTATTAGTTATTTAGCTTGTTCTTTTTAGCTGAACTGCTGAACTGGTGCAATAAGTTGAAGTGAGAAAACATATACTTGTCTCGTTTCAACTTATTGCACTAGTTCAGCGATGCAGCGAAAAAGAACAGGCCAATTGTTCGACCTTGGTGATGGTAGGACGTATTTCGCCATGAGTGCCTCGTACCTATGCGATTTGAAGCCGTATTTCTCTATGTACATCCAAGAAGACCGAAAATGTCGTGCGAAGCGGCTGCTAAGTACGTGAGAAAATCGAAGGCATATGTGAATCAATGAATGAAACTCTATTTAAAGATAAGAAAAGATCGATGATCTGCCAGAATATGACTCTGCGCAAAAAACGATGACAAATGAGGACGAACTGATCTTTCGGATATTTACGAATAATCTTAGGCATTGCATAGCGGCATTAATGTTAAAAAAGTATAAATATATCATGTGACGCAATAAGCAGACATGTATGTGCTCATGATATGAAATATCAAAGCACAATTAACCCTTAAATGCATCATGATGCAGTTCTGCATCTTCGTATGATTTTTTAGCTCATATCTCAATAAATAGCAACCCTGTTTCAAATTCATTCAAATTATTTTATTAAAAAAAATAAAAAGTCATGTATTTAAGGGTTAAGAAACCTTTGCTGTCTGAAAGACACGTCGAAAAAGAATAACTTAGACGCAAGAAAATTTGAATCGCGATTGGGATAGTGTGATTTTTTTTGACGAAGTTGTCTTTTAATCAAGTAATTATATTATTCATATCTGGTATGCCCACACTAATAGACTCATCCAATGGACTGTTAAATTGTTAAACATTTTGTGTTGTAAGGGTGCATCTTTGGGGATGCTTCTTAAAGCACAGCTTTGGCATTTTGCATATTTTTACACCGGCAATTTGAACGCCGTAAAAAATGATAAAAATTTATGAAAGGGCTTTATTACCATCTGTCCAAAAGTGGTTATACTTTCTGAACTGTTCTGTAACCTTTCTATTCTCTTTTTAAAAGTCACATTGACGCGCCTTTTGAATTAGACATTGAATTTTTTATTCTCCTTTATGATAAGTCAGTCATTTTGCAAATAATAACAGCCATTTGTGAAAAATATCATTTAATCTTATAATATTTCTAATGAAATGATATTGTATTACATACTCTTTATATAAAATCTAACACAATACTTGAAGCATTTATAACATCTATTTTATATAATAAATACAAAAATTGTGCTTGCACAATTCGTAAATACAAATTGTTCAGGATTATTGTAAATGTGTAACATTTAATCTCAGGAGTGTCAGACTTACATTTACATCGTAACTTCAGTGGCAATGAGATCGTTAATGCTAAAGCTACTGTTGATATGTAAATATGTTAAACATATGTATAATATATGTATTTAATTTGTGTACTTAGTCTATCTTGTATGCTTATATTGCATTAAGGCACTTCCAATTATATACCAAACAAAGCGCTTAATATATATTGAATTACATATATAACAAAAGTATGTTGCATTCGAAACCTGCCTATATAATTAATATTTAAACAAGTGTAAAATGTTGGCAGTTTGATAGCAAACTTGCTTAGAATATTACAACGTGACATTCAATTACACATTAAGTTCGTGTTCTACCGGCAGAGACTGTCGATATAATCGAACAACAGATTGGCAGCAGAAACTGAGCAGTGTCTTCCGTATATTCCATTTGAATGTTAATTGTAGATTCTGCTCGGTTTTTGCGGTCGTACTTGATTCGTAGCTCCTATTATATATTTGTTGATACATTGCTAATCAAATGTGTAGCCGACAAAAACTGTTTTGATGGATTTGGCAAAAAGCCTATATATTCCATAGAAAATCTAAGCAAACGTCTGTGACCTGCTTTTCTTATTTATCCAAGCTATCTTATGTAACGATACACTTGATTTTTTTAGTAGTAATTAATTTAAAAGTAATTAATTACTCTTTAGTCTTAATTTTTCTAAAGTAGCTTGTAGAGCAATATAAAATAGGTTAGATATTTACATAATACATAAAATATATGTTCTCTTTCTTATATATAACGATCATTCTTGTGGACGGATACACAATATAGCTACCTTAGGTTGCTATTTTATTCGTTGCGTAATTGATAAAAACTATTATTTTACAATAAGAAACGTTAATGTCAGAAATTTTAGAATTATTTAACTTAATAATCTTATATATACGCAAATGACATTATTGTCGCATTATATTGAAGAAAACATCTACAGATGCTCTCGTAACTTTTGATTATAATTATACTTGTTCAATTATGATTGTAATTTAACATTTTATATGGCATTATTTTGATAAAACAAATGATATTCTTCTTTTTAACTAAAACATTTAAAAACTTAGATATAAAAAAATAAATAAAGCGATTGTCGATCTGAAGATACTGGTAACTTAGTTATTAAACGGCTGTTTGCGGTACTCCTTGTACTAATAGAGTTCTACTCTTAGCTTTCGGCAATGCAGATTGACTCATCGTTTTTGTCAGTTTAGGCTGACCATTAGGCGAGCTCGTGACAAAGCCTTCCGATCTCATATCTTTCAACGAGACGTTAGAATTGCTTCGTAACGAGGGTGTAGAACTGAACTTTCTGTTTTGTGCTAAACGTTCCTGTAGTCTCGCTTCGTTTTGACGTGGTACTCTAGTTTTCATTGGTGGTACGTCGCGATATTCGTATATATTTTCCTTAGATGTACGTGTTAAATTCTCGATTCCCTCGGAATGTTCGTCGTCTCGTACCATCAGGATGTCCCCGCTATAGTAGTGATCAGATTGTCTGTGGAATTGATTTAAATCGATGTAAAGAGAGTTCGTGAAATTATTAATATTTCCCTCACTACCTCTATTTTATTATCTAGTTCGGATTTCTGCGTTAATTTATGCCACCAATAACACATATAAATGACACGTGCAATTAATAAAGCGTACTTGTGACAAATGCATTGGAAGTACGAGAATGTGCGTAAAACTTTTTTCATGAATACCTGCACGCATCCTAGTCTCCTTCGTTTTGCTGATTGTAAGCGGGAATAAAGTTAATTAGCAACTTATACGGAGACAGTTATGAGAGAATGAGATAAAAATCGCGCGATATCCCAATAGCACAATATCGTGGTGCCCCGCGCAAGAGTTGTATCCATAAACCAGAACCAATTTCCGCATGCGCTACCGTTCGGTGCAGCCAGTGCCGCCGGATGAAGCCGTAGTCACATGGATTTGGTTCCGTTTACCTTTTCTTACCTTTTGGCGTTACGCCAAAGCATACAGCACACCACGGAGAGCACGAGTAATAGTAGACATGCCGTCGACATTGACCAGAACGCAATTTGAAGCGGCTGCTTAGGCTCCCACCAATACTGCGAAGAGAAAAATCACGAAAGTGTAACCGGCGAAATCTCATAAAAGCACAAAACAAAGCGTCTCGTAGTCTAATGCCTCACCTCGGTAACGGGAGGATACGTGGGGACGAGGTAACCGATGACAGTCGGCAAATACATGGACCAAAACGCACTCTCTGTTTGCCGATAATTAATCTGGATGGAGCTATTAAACGTCGTATTGATATTGAGATATCGTAGCTGCCCGTATCGAGCGAGATCAAAGTGCAATCCTAAAATCTGCGAAGGCGTTGGATTCCTACGACAAATAATCAATTAAGTTATTTCGAAGTTGCTAGTATTATCACACATCTGTATTATCGCACACCTATGTAGAAGTACGTACCCGTTTGTAGCAAAATTCGAGTATGCCTTCATGAAGAAATGACTCATGTTGCGATCGTTGTCACTCCACACGTCTCGGCTTAGTTTCAATCTTTGCGGGAAGAATTCTACACGGATAACAGCCGATTAATAAGCGTCATAATTGAAGATAGAAACATACGCAAGAAACATACCAACATCCATAAACGGCGCCCCTGTCAGCCATAGATGCTCCGTATCGTGAGGAACCCTGGCCCAATGTTGCGCCTTGAACGACTCTACTGAGGTATTCAGAACGTACAAGTACGTCGGCACGAGTTTCTCCACCAGGAGTTTCGCTATTTTATCGTATGGCGCTACGTAGTGAAAGTCTGATAATAGCTGTAAATATCAACATCGATTAACACAAAGACAATATAATAATATATTGTAACCAAGATCAACTTGGATTATTATACATTTATGCACATATTACCTACATTTATGTATTGATCGCGTATATGCGTGAAGTTCATCGGATCCGGCCAATACGTATACATATATTTTATCGCTTCAAAAACGCCCTGCGGATTCAAGGTATAGTTGTACTGGAGAACTAGTTCCCATACTTTTTGATCGAACGATTCAAGATCGATTATGTAGTTGTTCCTCTGCAAAGTTTCGTTATCCTCTGCAAAGGAATGAATTAGACGTAAGACTTGAAGTGAGGTAATACAGTGAAATGGACAAATAAATGAAGTAATCAATAACATACTTATAATAAATGCAGCTTCTTGAGTCGTAACACCAGCCATGTAAGCCAAGTTTTTTCGAAATTTCCCAGCTTTAATACTTTCTTCCGGCGTTTCAGTAAAGAAACGCCAATCGGCCATCCTCCATCCCTCGTACCAATTGTCTTGAGGTATCGTGAAGTTAATATCCAATACAGGCGCCCACGGGAACATTCCAACGTTCGGTTTCAATTGGTAATTGCTCAATTCGAAGGAGCTACGTCCGTCTTTCAGGCACTGTACCAATTTCCAGCTGCTCTCTATGCTGCAACCGAGCATTTTTGCGTATACCCGGGATGTATTCTGTGCTCGATACTTGTCCATGATCACCGCCCAATCGGCTACAGCCGAGCCAGACTGCGCTATTACTTTCGACACCAAGTCCCGCGTTCTACGACGAATAAACAAATTCAATTAGCAACCAATTGGAGAGAGAGAAGGAGAATATACAATATAAGCGTATTGATCTCTTTTTACCTCGGCGCAACCATCAATAAACCCGCACTCGCTGCTCCAGCACCGGGACCGAAAAGTGTTATAGAATCGGGATTTCCGTTAAAAATGTAAATATTGTCATATACCCATTGCAATGCCAGAGCTTGATCAAGAATTCCATAATTGCCAGGGCTGTTTTCATCTCCAGTGCTTAAAAATCCTGGAAACATGAGGGGAAAAAAGCTCTTACTTTATTCTAATAATATTTATATATAAAATTCAGACAATTTTATCGTAATATCTTTTCTGATCATGTATGCTCTTACCGAGAGCTCCGAGGCGGTAATTTATCGATACCACTACGACATTATAGAAAGCAGCTAACATGTGGCCAGGGAACAAATTGCTAGCTCCATGAATAAATTGGCCGCCGTGTATGTAAAACATTACTGCATACTTGTTTGCTAACCCAGCACCTACATTGGGTGTAAATATGTTCAAGTACAAACAGTCTTCATCGACATCCCGTATGCCTTTCGTAGCGCCGGTGTATTCGCTCGGCTGTGGGCAAGCTGGACCCCAATCTACAGCTTGCAAAAGATTCCATCCTCTATGAGGTCTGGGAGGTTTGAAGCGACCTTCCTTCGTCGGTGGTATTGCATAAGGGATACCCAGAAACACATTGACAACTTTTGTGACTCTGTCCACTGTCGGGTTCCATGGCCTGCGCCCTGAGAACGGATCGTCGTACAAACGAACTTTGAATCCTTGCACTTGTCCGTAATTTGTGTTCACAATTACGTCTCTGTCTCTGAAAAGTTTTGAGTCTGGTCTCTCTTTTCCTTGAAGGTCCTCACGCCAGCCACCCAGCACTCCCGGCAATGGAATCCTTGGCGTTGAATGCTTTAATGTAATTTAACGTTTAACTAATGTTAATTAGTAACTTCAATTAATAATGCATACTTGAAAAAACGATATTATAATAAGGATTAGTTTGCTTGGGATTTAGGCAAGAATTAAATAAATAAGAATAAGGGAGAATTAGCGATTGGATATAAAAGATTATGATGGATAGAATGGAAATAATGAGAGAAACATTGTTTTGGCAGTGATATTTATGTACTGAACTTGAACTAGTCGAGTAATTTTAAGGTATGGATAGATGTGTGTAGTTAAAATAAAAATTGTAAATCAAGTCCCTTTTTGGTATCCCAGATAGACAGAAATGCTGAACATAGTGTGCAAACATTTAATGTATGCTTTGTGATGCCATTGCAACAGCGCAACAATTTAAAATATGTTTTAAAAATACTCATTTATTACGCCACAATTTTAAGAAAAATATTGATCTTATTACTAAAATAATTCTGAATCAATTACATTTTCTTTCAGACAAAATAAGCAGCAATATTTATGGCATGAGAATATCACCGTAATTTTCACAGTATCGGATGATCTTTTGTATGCTGACAAAATGTTTGTACGCATCCTAATGCAGACAATACATGGAAATGTTTACCTAGGATCAGCTGAAGTAAGGTAAATATATAAGAAAGATTAGCAAATGATATGTGAATCCCAATGAGAACGTACTTCGATCGTCCTCTTACTTACGTCGTACTGGAAGCGATCCTCAGGTGCCCTTGTGGGTCCCCTGTCAAGAGGATCCATGTAGCCGTAGCCATACCTTCTGTCCTTGTACACGTACGTATTGTAGCTGGCCGCGTCGAGCGGCACGTACACGCCATCGCGATTATAATATCGGCTACCGGGGGAGATGTGTTCCTGGGCAAATGTCAAGTCGATCGTCACCAAGGCGCAAACGACGATGCTGGTCGCGCGCAGTCCACGCGTGGCCATGTTCGGCCGCAGAGCGACAACACGCGAGAGAGCGGCTCCCGCAGGTGTGGCTGGGGTACCTCCGTGCGTACTACGCGACACACACTGCAACACAAGGGAACGGCACCACGAGGAGCGGATGAAAGCGAGAGTGTTCGCTGATTCGACGCACTTGCCGCGACGACAACGATAACCGTGCGCGCTATCAATTGTCGACGAGCGGCTCCCGAAGTGCGTGTCTGCGGTGGTCCTAGTGTACACGCCTGTATCGTAAATGAAAGAGAGTGCGACGATACTCGCGCTCTTACTGAGCGAGTGAGGTTCCCCTCTCTCTCAGGTCTATCGTTACGAAACGCCTGACGCGCACGGCGGTGTCTCCCCGCGGCCAACACCCTATCGACCGCTTCGCGCGCACTTCAAGTGGCTAGTCGCTCACAGCCTGACCTGCTTCCTCTCCGCCGCGCACCTAGTCGATAATAGGAAATGTCGCGACGCTTTCTGTAAGAAGCGCACCGAGCGTGAGGTCAAGAAACGATGGTTGAAAGCGAAAGGAGGCAGCGACCAAGCATTCAAGTCCGACGGGTAATATGTGAATAATTTCGTCGCGCAAGTCAGTTTGACGACATATTGAAATTTCGAAATCTCGATTCGCAGCTCACTTCAAACGCATTGGCTGCGTTCAGAAAACACGATTAGTGAGCGGTCAATGGTTATTGGTCTTTACTGTTAGACCCCCGAAAGTTAGACTGTTTATTTATTACTCGACTGTTGTACAACCGTTGTGTTTTCTGAATGCAGCCATTGCTGTGAGCGAGCGGAAGGCGCGGTTTCGTCGAGCACGGTTCGCAATGTGATTTTGTCGTCTAAAGGATCTAAATGTCGCAAGGAAGATATGCATGTAAAGAGAGTACGTACACAGTAAACAATTCTTTGTAAAATTCAATAAATTTAATTTACCTGTAGACCGTTTGGGACATGTGAAAGGTGTCAATGTGAAATGTCCGAAACGAAAGTTTGTGCGCTAACCTAACACAAAAATGAATATGTCGAAAAGTAACGCAGATATTACCGTCAAAAATTAATTCAAAACTAATACGTTAATCGACACTGAAGTACCAAATGCGTTACTTTAACTCGTAGATGAACACGAGTTTCTCGAGTGTTACCGATGCTACTTCGCTAAATCCAAGAGTAAACGGTAAAGGCAAGTTACTGAAATCTCCAACATCGCAGAAGAAAACGAAGACGAAGAAACAAATTCGTTTGTTCATGCATCTGTCGGTCAGTTTGATCGATACGTGTCCAATTATGGGTTTAACATTTGCACATGTTGAATATCGACACAGCAGAAAATGTTGAGATAAACATAAACACAATACGTTAAATGAATACACGGGTATGTTAAAGATTTAACACAAAAATTTGAGCAAGGACCGATTTTTACACAATGTCTCTGACTTTTTTTATAACAGATACATCGTAGAAAACGGGACTTACGTGCACTTCCGTTTGTATTACTAATCGAAGGGACGACAGCCAGGTTCAGTGATATCTAGCCATTACGAGGAAAGGTGATAACGTGTATCGATATCGTTGATCAGTGTCGACCGTGGCTCATTCACAGGTGATCATAATGCGGCGGCGAGAAGTCGAAACGAAGATCGCCCATGCAAGTAGTAGCGTTGTCGCGCGCCGAAGCGAGGTAGCGCAGGCAAGCTCGGTTCTAACTCGCGCACTGACCAACCGCGATGGATATAACGTTGCAAAGGGCAGTGGCCGGACTTCACCAAGCCGAGTAGTGATGCCGTCGCGTGCATGCATGTTGCCGCAATGGGCCGCCCACGCGCGAGATATCGTTGCGAAATGACGCGCTGGCATGATCGAACGGATGTGCGTGAGATCGCGGAAGAACAAGAGCACGGATGAAAGAGGTAGGTTAAATTTGGGGCCACCGGCTATGCCTCGAATGTATTCACGACATCCGTGAGAATTTCGATTAGACACAATTATAATCTTTCTACACAGAGGAAATATTATAGCGAAAATCATCATAAAATTTTATTTACGTTGAACCATACTGGACTTATGACTGAAATTGTTATGTATGTTGTAATCTTGAGTGATGTGTACAATGAAGTACGTCACTAAAGGTTTTAACAAACATAATTTCAATTACAATTCCGGTATGGTGCAACATTACACAATTTTGTGGTAACTTTTATTAACTACAATATTTTCTCCATATATGGCATTTTTAAATGATTCTAGTGAACAAGAAATCATTAACATAACATTATGTACAATCATATTTTATAACATTTAAAGTTTTCAAATATATAGTTCTTAATGTTATACACAATATTATTATTAACAATATTTAACCCAAACGTTAAAAATAATATTAATATTGGAAATAATGTAGAAACTTCTACATTATGATTTTAATATTTAGGAATATCATATTATCAAGTAACAGTTTAAAAACATTTATAAAATATGATATCAAAATGTTTATAAAATTCACATAAAGTCAATGTTTCAAAAGAATTATTTAATGTTTCTTGTTTACTGGGATGTTTCTTTAGAAAATTGATCGTGTGTCTGATGTTTATTTCTGTCTTATCATCTTATTTTTCCCAAATTTCTCTTAAAGTTCACTTGCTTAAATTTCACACAACAGCTCTACAAAATCATTTTTATATTTTTATATATTGACTTCTGTGATTGATGTGACAAAAGAACTGGGGTTTTTGATATTTCTAGCTATTTTACTTTCTCTTTTATCATACAGGAAGTAATAAAAACATATGGAAATTGCATATAGAGAAACGAGTGTGACCTAGTTTCCCTTTCTACCCCCTTTCAAGCGTAGATTTTAATCTATACACACACACCCTTGTGAAAGAATGTCGCGTGAACGGATGTGTTATACAATTAGTTGGCTCGTGCATCCGTGTTTATCAGTAGTGTGTTTACCTGTGATGAGATTAGTATACTGTGATGACGGGTTATAATTGCAGGCATTGCAGGGAGCCGCGTATTTATGTCAGATATTTCGTCGTAAAAGCGGCTCTTTCATTCACGGCTGCTGCTTGCAATGAATACGATTAAGTTCTAGACCGTCATCGCATTTCGCGTTAAGTAGCATCCCGAACGAAGCTTCCCAATTGGATCTTTCTAATTTTATTTCTCTGGCTCTATTAAAACTCTTACATTTGTCATGAAAAACTGAGTAAAAATAGAAATCGAAAACACTGTTTTCCCGCACAAATTTCTAGATTGGCGTGATTAGATTTTGGAGCTTTTATTTGCCGACATTCCCCGAGATCGTTCACATCGATTGTTTCTGAATTATCGCTGTAATTTCGGCTACCCGTCCGGGTACCCGAAGTTTTCAGTAATTGAGTGTGCGGCTAATTTCAGACGTCATGATTTTTTATTATCGTTGGGAAAATCGATAATTTATATTGTCTGAAATTATCCATATACTCGGTTACTGAAAGATTCGGATATCCGAGTAATCGAAATTGGCAGCATTATTCTGAATCCGGTACCGTGAAGTTAGCATCGTCCGTATGTTCGTTTGAGCTGTTTGAAGAGAAAGCTTCCCGATGTGTCGCGAATTCTACGGTCTTCCTGAACATCGAGCTGATCAGCGGTAATGGATGCGCGTGATTGAAATAAATTAATTTGCCATGGTTCTTTAGGTTGCTCGCGTCTTGTCGATCGAACCGGCCCCATGAAACCGTCAAAAACCGGCTTTTGTATAATCGCCATTGTAGCGTCGTTCAGTTTACTTCAAAATACTGAATAAAAATATGCCACGACGTTTCTCGTGTATGAATCACGCGTACCACACTCGCTCCTATGACTCATGATTTTACCAGCTAAATTAAGTATTAATCATTCGTTGGTAGAACTACTTATGTCACGAGTGAGACATGAGAGAGAGAGAGAGAGAAAGTACGACGTAAAGAAATTATTATAAAAGTTGAAAAATTGTCAATTAAGGCTTGATGCAACATTAACGAGTCGATAATTAGTTTGAGATTCTCGCGAGATGGGAAGTAAATGCGGTTTGATAGAGTTCGCTTTTTTAGGAGAGAGGTAATGAAATTTTTGATGGAAAAAGATCGGGAGGGGGG